CGTAAAATCACATCACATGGTAATAATTATGTATATATTTGTCGCAAATGGCCAAATGAATTTCCGGGAATTCGGGATGAAAAACTGTTGTGTGTGAGATTGAAAAAATTATAAAAAACGATAACTTCATATCGTCACTTGACTCAGTTCGGAAATATATGATACATGTATTCAGAATCCTACTCACCGTGAAACTAAGAGATTCTGTATAGGATCCTTTGTGATTGTACGTGATTCTATGATTATAATTTATTGGGGATAACTTTTAAAATTTGTAAACTGAATAACAATGATCAAGATATATCTTCTTATCACCTAATACAGTAATCGGATCATTTAGATTTTTTTTTAGGAAAAAAAAAACAACTAACAGCGTTCAAGATAATGTTGTTTGGTAGTCAGTAATCAGTCAATAATTTCTAAACTCTGTTAGACGACAATATCCTTCGGTGTATCTAACTTCAAACAATTACTGATGAATAACACAGATCTGCATATTTCATAAAACAATAACAATAAATGACACTGAATAATCCGAATTCATTTGTACTTCATATTTTCTCATCAATTGTTTACAACCATATTCATCTTTCATCCACTTTAAAACTACTTGTTTTACACCCACTTGTTTCTTAAATTTATGTAAACTCTTCAAATCTTCATTAACTATTACCATTAAGATATTAAAAGACAAATTGAGCTAAGAAATACTTCTACTCAATAGGTTATTTATCAGTACTATACACTAATAGATAGATTCTTCAAATGAGTAGAAAGTCAATATCAAGTAGACGATGGTGAGTCAGTTGAACAATATAATAATCAGTTAGTTTCATAGTGTTTAGAAAGTTAAAATTAAAACTAAGTTGAGTTTTCATAGTCAGTAAATTATTATTAAGTAGTTACATAAAATTAGGAATAAAATTTTCAATTGGATGTAAATATGTCAAGTATTTGAACGAGGAATATTCTTTTCGATCAATTCTCTTCAGGTTCTACAATTCATATACATTCAAATTAATAATCCGAAAAATGGTCAGATTAAAAGCCTCTTACAGCTTCCTCGAGTTCACCAGTGGTCCGTCGTCACAGTATATCGTTTGAAGTATGTGAATTTAGGATTGTTAAACAAAATACAATAAAATGGTTAATGTTGATATAACTCAGATTACGATTGATTAATTGGCCTTGATGTTGGCCAGAGGACAAATTAGTAAGACGTAATAAGGAGGGATGATTGTGAAGTGAATGAATCATGTATAGGGGAAATTAATAATGATGTTTAACCAATAGTAATAATAATACAAAGATTCATGAATAAAGATAGCAGAGACAACTGCAATTGACTACGAAAGGTCGTAGTCAAATTAGGTCATACAGTAGCTAAGATTACAATTGATTAATTGGCCTTCATGTTGGCCAGGGGAGGAAGAGTGGTTGAAGATATTTATTCTTTACGCATAGCTCCGGTTTTTTCATCCAGATGGCTACTGCTTCAGCCGTTTAAAGAACTTTAAGCCTGACAAGTTTTAGCAAAAATTACTGACCTTATAAATAATTGAAAAAGATTGGTTTATACTGGCACTATGACCAGTTTGTACTAAATGGGCCAATATCGAGCTGTTGACTTTCTTCATCAAACCTTTGTTTAGCCACGCTGGGAAGTGTTCACGAGCACGAAAATGTAAATTCCTAGAACTTCGATCAATATAACTAGCTCCAGGGGAGCAGTCGAACTGATAAATACAAAATGAGGTGGTCATTCTAGGTAATTCATCTTTTACCCCCGGTGTCACCATTGGGCGAGTAGTTTCCGCCATCTGATTATTTCAACAAGTTATCTGGGTTTTTTCGTTAGTTTTAACTTATAATTATGTCCATTAATCGCATAACCTATTCAGGCGCTTTTATGAAAATCCTACGACCTTTCGCTGCCATTATTAATAATAATAATAATAAAACACTAATCGCAGCTCTCCGGTGTTAAGAGATTTTTGTATTGTCCTGCGTAATCTCTGAGTTGATATTTCACTAGCTGCATCCCCTCTGAATTGTAGACTCATGAACAGAGATTTCTTCTTCCCCATTTGCGTATCGCCTATTTTCACCTTTTAATTTGATAGGGATCTTTAAACGATTAAAATATGTCGGAATGGGTTTTGTGGAGAGTTTTAGAAATTTCACAGGTTGAAATCATGAGTCAATTGAAGCTAGACCACCATGGAAAACCTGAAAGTACTGGACGGACGTTCCGTTCTAGTATGAGACTCCTAGACGGTGCGCATCCACGATCCCGCACCTCGCGGGATTCAAACCCAGGACCTACTGGTTTCGCGCGCGAGCACTTAACCATTAGACCACTGAACCGGCATCCAACGGTGTTAACGTCTAATTTCAACCAATCCACAAAGTTGCGCCACCGTACACCATTGTCTTCAGTGAGTTGTTATCTCACAACAGACCTGGTTGAACTCCACTGGTAACGGCTTCTCACTAGAACTCCAGGAGTATTTTCCTGAAGTCAGTCACTAGTGAGCAGTTGATTATTATCAGAATGGGTTTTGTGGAGATTTTTAGAAATTTCACAGGTTGAAATATGTCTTTCGTTATTTGTGAAATTAATGATTGACAAATAATTCCTTTTCTGATTCTTAAAAACAAGAAGTTTAGTGAAGGGATCTCTTTTCAACGAGTTTATGATCATATATGTGTCTAAGTATTAGTTCTATGAAGACATGTAAACAATGAATGAAAATGATGTAATAAAAAGATTATTACACTAGATTACGTAATGTAATGGCAGATTAATTGTAAGACAGGTGTAATGGAAACTAGATACAAAGATAATCGAAAATATTAAGTAAGATGAAAATTAAAAATTAAAATGTTAACAAAATCAAAGTCTTGGAAATTTGAAAGGAAAAGAAAAAGATTTTTTAGTAAACGTAATAGTATCTAAGTGAAAGGTCAAGCTAAATTCTGAGGCTGTATAAACTTTTTTTCTGTAAACAGAAATTAGGTTAGTAGATATAGATTTCTATAATTTCTGATGTAGGTAAGCATTATTCATCTTACAGTTAACATAAGACATTTGTATTTTAATTGTTGAATTCATGAGTCGATCTAAGCTAGTCCACTATTGAAAATCTGGAAGCACTGGACGGCCGTTTCGTCCTAGTATGGGACTCCTGAGCAGTGCTCATCCACGATAGCGTACTCGGGAGTCAAACCCAGGATCTTCAACCTCTCACGTGAGCACTAAACCACTAGACCACTGAGCCGGCATCCAGCGGTGTTAATGTCTAACTTCAACTAATCCACGAAACTGAGCGACACATCCACCATTGTCTTCAGTGAGTTACTATCTCACAACAGACCTGGTTGAACTCCACGGGTCACTACTTCTCACTAGAAACCAGGAGGTCCTGGGTTCGAATCTCGCAAGGGGCGAGGTCGTAAATCCACACCGCTGAGGAGTCCCACAACAGGACGAAACGGCTGTCCAGCGCTTCCAGGTTTTCCATGGTGGTTTAGCTTCAACTGACTCATGATCTTAACCATTGATATTTATAATTGTTAAATATATCATCTGCGTGATCAAACAGAGAATATGGAATCATGTGAAGGATGAATTACACGAGATTCTTACTCTTGATGCAGACTGTATCTAAATTGTAAATTACAAGTTGAGCGTTGGTAGTTGGTAGGAATTTTTTCGATGGAGATTATAATGGTTTAGGTAAAAGAAATAGAGAAATTTCCTCACTCTTAGCGTTAACTGGGGATTTGAAGGTATTATGATTATTTACCAATTATTTTCAATTTAGTTTATGTGTACGAACTGATATTAACTGGAAAGTCATTAAAAACCAAGGAGAGCCCGACAGTTATTTTTTACAAACTTTGAACTCTTCAGGATTCGAGAAAATCAGAACGAAAACAACAATATATAGGAATGACATTCGACAAGTGTAGCTCTATCGCATGAATGAACAGAATTTTCCAATTTTGATCCCTTGACTTTTGTAGTATGTTCACCTGACTGACGATCGTTAAACTAGCACTAAACACCTGTCTACTGATCATTTATTTTTAGTGGTTTCACAGTCTATATCATTTCTTGTGTTATTAAACTGAAATCTATAAACAACTTAGATCAAACATTATTTGATTGAGATCATGAATCGATTGATGTTAGATCACCACCTTTGGAAACCTGGAAGCACTGGACGGCCGTTTCGTCCTATTGTGGGACTACTCAGCAGTGCGCATCCACGATCCCGCACGCGGGATTCGAACCCAGGGCATCCGGTGTCGCTCGCGAACGCTTGACCAACTGGACCACTAAGCCGGCATTCAACGGTGTTAGTACCTAACATCAACCAATCCACGAAATTGCGCGACCAACTTCCGTTGTACTGAGGTAGATACCTGTCTCTACCCGACACGGATTAGCTCCACTGGTCACGGCTTCTCACTAGAACTGCGAGAATTCCCTCACGAAGCTAGTCACTAGTGAGCACATGTTGATTACTAGTATAGGGGTTGTGGAGATTATTAAGTTTTTGATTGAGATGTAGGTTTCCAAAGGTGGTAGTTAAACATCAATCGGTTCATGATCTCAATCAAAAACTTAATAATCTCCACAACCCCTATATTAGATCAAATGGTTTTATCATACAAGCTTGAGTTAATAAGGAAAACTGAGAAACAAGTATATGTTATCTATTTTCTTGGTAATTTGAGCTTAAGTAAGACTATAACGTTTATGCACCATGCTGCACAATATTGTTTTACAATACATCACTATCATGTTTAGCAAAACAAATATATATGTCTGCACATTTATAATGAAACTGAAGAGACTAAGTGGAGTTTATTCATTTAGCTAATTAGTGCTCATGTAAAGGTAATTAATTTAGTGTAACAGACATACAATGATTAAATTTATATTGATCTACTTAAATATTGTGTGATATAATGATTTTAATTGGTTGACTAGGGCATGTGCCCCATTTATATATTCATTCCTAGAATTAAGAAATACATTGATCATTTTAGTTTCTATTAGAGTAAAGTGTAATTCAGTGATTCTGATTCAATTTATATTTGTATTTTTATGTTAATCATTTAAATTCTTTCACAATATAATGAATATGTCATCGGGAACTTTTCATTTATCACCTTGTGCACCAATTACAAAGTTTTTCAAAGATAAATCTGTTAAAGAGGTTCGTGAAAACACATCACATATTAATGCACATTTGATCAGTTTTAAAAGATGGTTACGTTCAATGCCACACCTTTCTTGTGCAGATGGTAAGTCACAATGGTGCTATTTTACTGTAATGATTTTTATCTAATTGAAGTACAGATAGCAGATATTAACTGTTTACCTTAAACGTTATTATAATCATTCAAGATAATTTAAGTATATTGAGCAGGTTGAATAGTTGAACAAGATTTCCAAATGAATGAAAATTTAATCGGAATTGTGTTTAGACTAAGGGTTTATCATGCTCAGTTTTTTAATTGTTGAATTTATGAGTCGATCTAAGCTAGATCATCATTGAAAATCTGGAAACACTGGACGGTCGTTTCGTCTTAGTATGAAACTCTTGAGCAGTGCTTATTCGCGATACCACACGCGGGAGTTTTTTCTATGTGAACGTCAATCGAAGTCCAACGTCAGTGTTCCCTCATTTTGTAATAATTACAATTGCAAGATGTATGTTTTAATGTTAAACAGTGTGAGATAGATTTTTAGCATTCTAATTTATAACAGTCTGTAATGGAAGATAAAATTTATAATTCACAAGAATGATTTATTCTTATCTTCTAAGACTTCACCAACAGTATAAACTGATTTTATTAGCCAATGAAAAATGTCGACCAAATGAAGAAATTGTAACAATTCCAATGTTTGAATTAGCCATGATGATGATGTCTGAAAATATAATGACAACGCTATATTTAGATCATATAGTTTCAAGAATCCAACACTGTCAATAATGAAATATCATTCAAGAGATCCATCTTGATAAATTAGTTATATTTTTTCTAGCTTGGAGATTGGGTAATAAAAATCGAAAGAATCCAAATTACAATTTATATATTACAACATAGAATTCTTTCTCATTTCTACAATGTGTCCTACGTCTTCTTTAGATAATAATAAAATGTAAAATGAATAAATTAGTAACTAGTGCGATCTTAACAAAATGACAGAAAACCATCTCAAAGCTAATTAATAATAATCAAACGATAACTTATCATTTGGATGGTTCAGGATTAAAGTTGGGTTTCGTCATGGACTGCAATTCGTCAGTGTGGATCCAAGGGAGTTCGGGAAATTCATGAAATGTATTTGCGGTGATTGTGGAGAAAATCCTTTGAATGAAGCAGTACTTTTTCACTCGGGTTGAGGATTTCAGCGAAGATCATGAAGACTGTATAGATGATAAAAGACCAGAACGATTACTGACCTCCTGTGTTGATGAAAACATTAAATGTGTGCGGTGCATTGTGCTTTCTGGCTGTTGATTTGATTTTTAGTTGGTCGCTAATGAACTGTATTGTTACCTCACATGATGGTGTTAAGGGAATCTCTTGAAGCGACCAACCTAATCAAAAATTGCGAATTAAATCACAGAGTTATTACTGTTTTAATGGAATTAAGACAGAATTTGACTTTGTACGCGAATTCTGTAAATGTTTAAATAAAAATGTTTTCCAACTAAAGTGTATGTATGTAATATTAATGGTCATTGTTCATTAGGAATTTATTTATCATAGGATATACTGGAAAGAAATAATCGTAAATATGTACTTAGAGTACTTACTTATGCTTATTACTCTCAATCGAACATAGGCCGCCGACCACCATTCCTCCAACCCACTCGGTCATCGGCCTTCCTTCCTAGTTCTATCCAATTGTTGTTCATTCTTCTCATTTCTCGGAGTAATATGTTCTTTCATCTTCCTCTCCTCCTTTGGCTTTAAGGATTTCAAGTGAGGGCTTGTCTTGTGACGCAGTTGAGTGCTTTCCTCAATGTGTGTCCTATCCACATGTACTTAGAATAACTATATGACATTGAGGAAATGTAGACTTTCTGACAAGGAATAACATTTCTGCATCCTTATTATCTTACAATTCTTCAGATTACTTTCTTTAGATTTTCAAAATCAATTTGGACCTGTATTTAGTTATTTCTACTAAAAAATGATTTAAATACATTCCAGTATTTCCTGTTATTTATTTAAGTATACTGATTGATTTGTAAATAGTAAACATGTTCATGAATGAATATATGCTCGTTTGAAACATAAGAAGCATTATTACCCTGTTCAACTCGACCTTCTTAGCCTTCTACTTCCCGATTTCCACTTCCGATTGGTGTTACATACTACCAATACCACATACTTACTACTTTAAAAGTAATAAGAAAAATCTTTTTTTACACATTTTGCATGTTTATAATAGATTTTATAGCAATTATGAAAATGTCAAGCTGTTAACTTTAGCATGAGACATGAACGGAATCTAAACACCATTTTGAGATCCCATAATGCTTGTGCCATTGGAGACTCTTTGATAAACACAGTGTTGAAGGTCAATTATCTTGGTGTTACCTCTTCCTCTGATCTATCTTGGTCTTCTCACGTTTTATTGTTATCGAAGAAGGTTTTCCGTCTGACTTACTACATAAAGAGATTGCATGCTTTTGGGATTACTTGTCATTTACTCTTACAGTTTGTGAATTCTTGCGTATTACCTATTATTCTTTACTGTTCTTCATTATTCTTTCCCGGGCTTTTGAGAAAAGACTTTGCTATAGTGCAGAGAGTGCTGAAGGCAGTTAGAAAGATGTGTGGTGTATCTTTCGAGGTCATAATTAATATGGTTGTGAATAGACAGACATCCAAAGTCATGCAAACTCCTGGCAGGCGTTATCTTATCAGATACTAACCATCCTCTTCACTCATAACGTTCTCATTGTATATCTTCTGGTAGAACGAGACGTAATTACATTAAAATCCGTGCACACAAGGAAAAGTATATAAGTTCTGTAATACCTTACCTAGCAAATATACTCTGTGACGAACAGGTTGTTAGAGTTAACCTAGTCAATAACCTGCATTCTTAACATGTCTCTAATTTGGAAAGTTGTGCAGTTTTTCAGATTATTTTTAACCCTTTTTGCTTTCTTTTTTTGAGTTTGTTTTTTTGTAAAAGAAACTTGTTGAGATATCTTGTGCTGAGATTTCTATATTGTACCAAAATATTATATTGAATAAAGCCATTAATAATAATAATGAAGATATTTAATTTATTTTTTAACTGAGATCATCGATCAATTAGTGGTAGACCACCATTGAAAACCTAGAAACACTGGACGGTGGTTTTGTCCTTACATGGGACTCTGTAGTAGTGCGTATCTACAATCCCATAGGTGGGATTCGAACTCAGAACCTTCGGTCTTTCGTACAAAAGCTTAACACTCATTCATTCATGATCTCAATAAAAAATGTAACAATCTTCACAACTTCACACTGATAATTTAACCGTTTTTCTAATATTAAATAAGTAATTATTGAATTAACTAATGATACTAATCGCACAAAATTTATTGATTTTGATTGTATTTATAAAATTAAATATCGGTTAATTTTTAATTATTTAAATGATGGAACGTTTTGTAATCGATTAATTGATCAGTGAAAATGATTTGATTTTATTGACTTATTGGAAATAGAATTGATAGATCTATATTTTTAAAATTTAAATCATGCACTGACACTAGCTAGAACATTGTTACAAACTAGGAAGCAATAGAAGGACGTTTCGTCTTAGTGTAACACTTATCACCAGTGTACATTTACGACCCTGAATCCGGGAATCGAACCAAGGACCTTTGGTTTTGTATGCAAACACTCGAAATTCAAACCACTGAGCCGGTATTCATTAGTATCAATGTCTAACTTTAGTCAATTCATGATCTTGTGAAACACTCATCCATTACCTACGGTTGGTAATTACTTTACACTAGACATGTTTGAACTACACGAGGCACAGCTTCTCACTAGAAATATGAGTTGCGTCTTGAAGACATTTCCTAGTGAACTTAATTATTTGCGCCTGTTACTCCTCGTGAAGAAGCATAAGCCAACCACCAGCATTCTCCGTCCAACCCTGTCTTGAGCAATCCTTTCCAGCTCCTTCCAGTTGTAATTCATCGTTTTCACATCTGCTTCTATTATCCGACGCAATGTATTCTTTGGCCTTCCTCTTTTCCGCTTCCCTTCAGGATTCCAAGTTAAGGCTTGTCTAGTGATGCAGTTTTATGATTTGCGTAATGCATGTCCTATCCATTTCCATCGTCTTTTCCTAGTTTCCTCTTCAGCTGGAAGTTGGTTTGTTCTCTCCCACAGAAGGCTATTGCTGATGGTATCCGGCCAATGGATGTTGAGTATCTTGAGTAGACAACTATTTATAAATACTTGTACCTTCTTGATGGTGGTTGTTGTGGTTCGCTATGTTCCAGCTCCGTACAGTAGAACTGCCTTGACGATCGTATTGAAGATTTTGACTTTGATATTGGTTGAAAGTTGTTTTAAGTTCCATATGTTTTTCAACGGTAGGAATGCTGTCATTGCTTTGCCAATCCTCGCCCTTACGTCTGCACCTGAACCTCCTTGTTCATCGATGATGCTTCCCAGGTATGTGAAGGATTCTACATCTTCCAAAGTTTCGCCATCAAGAGTGATTGGATTGGTGTTGTCCGCGTTGTATTTGAAGATCTTGGTGTTTCCTTTGTGTATGTTGAGGCCTAATGATGAATTGACTGCTGCGACACTGGCTGTCTTTATCTGCATCTGTTCGTGTGTATGCGATAGGAGGGCTAGGTCATCTGCGAAGTCCAAATCGTCTAATTGATTCTGAGCTGTTCATTGTACGCCGTGTTTTTTCCTCAAATGTTGAGGTCTTCATAATCCAGTCGACCACCAGAAGAAAGAGGAAGGGAGAGAGTAGACAGCACTGTCTGACACCGGTTCTTACTTGGAATGCGTCTGTCAGCTGTCCTTCATGCACGACTTTGCACTGTAGTCCGTCGTATGAGTTCCAGATGATGTTGACAATCTTCTAAGGAACTCTGTAATGTTTGCTTCTATGTACTCAGCTTGTGCTTAAATTTCCTCTGTCCGTGTTCGGCAGTTGCTAATTGCTGTCTTCTTGTTTTTCCTTCCTTTGATCCTGTCTAGTATTTCTATGGAGATCCATTCCTTATGATGGTGCTTCTCTAGACCCAGAACCTCTTGACACGTTGAAATCAATGCTTTTTTGATGCCTTCCCAGTTGTCCTCCATAGTAGTTTCTTCTTCCTTCAGTAGATCCTGTAAGGCTTGGAACCTGTTGTTGAGACCCATCTTGAATTCATTGAGTTTGTCAGTATCTCGAAGGAAGGCTGTATTGAACCTTTGTAGTGCTGTTTGTCCACTTGTCCAGTTCCTCTTTAACTTCATTTTTAAATTGGCCACATCTAGATGGTGATCTGGAGCTATATCAGCTCCCATCCTGGTTCTCACATTTTTCATTGTTCTTTGGAATTTTTTGTTGATGCAAATATGATCTATCTGGTTCTCTGTAGTGTGGTCCGGTGAGATTTGCAAATCTTTCTCCATTTTCGTTTCTCTCTCCCAGTCAGTCCATGTCGTCCCATAATATCTTCATATCCGGTGTTGTCTATTCCGACTTTGGCATTTAGATCTCCCATCAGAATGGTGAGGTCGTTTCTTGGGCACTTCTCTATGATTGACTGCAGCCGCTCGTAGAACTGATCTTCAATGTCGTTGTTGCTATCATTGGTGGGTGCATAACATTGGATAGTATTCATTGTGATCCCCTCCTTCTTTGTTTTGAATGATGCTTTGATGATTCATGATCCGCGAGATTTCCATCCTACGAGTGCATTTCGTGCTACTTTGGACAACATAAGAGCGACTCCCTGAGTGTGTGGGTCATTTTCCTCTTCGTGATCGGAGTATAGCAGTATCTCTCCCGTATTTAGCCTTTGTTGTCCAGCTTGGGTCCAGTGGGTTTCGCTGATTCCCAGTACTGCTAAGTTGTATCTTCTCATTTCCGTTGCTATTTGACTGGTCTTCCCGGTCTTCTACATTGTTCGGACGTTCCATGTACCTATAAAAATTGTTGCTGTGGTTGTTATAAGAGGTATCAGCCTCGTAGCTTCCGAAGGAATTCGGCTTTCACCATGAGGCGTCATAATTCTTCTAAATGAAGACCTTCTCACTTTCATGGCAGAGTTCAAATGGTTTGAATTATTTTTTCTGGTTAGCGTTTTTTAGCGAGTTAGTTTTCTACGAGATGGTGTCGCTAACCCCATGTTCCACCCTCCTTCTTTACCTGGCCTTTGGACTGGTAGTAACTCTAGAAGTGCTACAGGCGGAGTTTTACTACTGAGCACGTATATGTTATTCATATTGAGAGATTTTTGGACATTGTATGATTTTCATTATTTTAAATGACTAAATAATCTTATCTAGACTACTTTAGGAGGTATGGAAGCCAACTCAGTGGTCTAGAGGTCATGTGTTTGTGTACAAGACAGAAGGACCTGGGTTCGATTCCCGGATGTGGTATTGCGGATGAGTTCAACTCTAGGGCGAAACGGCTATTCAGTCCCTCCAGGTTCTCAATATTGATCCAGACAAGGTCATTTTATAGTTTAAAATATGAGAATTCTGTGACTGTCACAAATCCCCTAGACTTATATTTGTTGGAATATATTTGATAATTTTGTTGTAAGTATCAGAAAAAAGGGAAAATCCTACGTCTTTTTATGACTTAAGTTTTCGTTTCATCACTGAATCTGATGCTTATACAGTATTAAAATCGCTATTATCAATTATCTGGCTTTTTTAAACATTTACATAAAACTGAACCATAACTCTAACATGATCTAAAATGTTTAGTAAGATCTAGATTATCTAAATTTATGGATGAGGCAAATGAGAATAAATAAGTTTTAACTTGAACTTGAAATGAACTTGCGCCTATTACTTCCAATGGAGCATAGACCACTGACCAACATTCTCCAACCCAGTCTGTCTTAGGCCTTCGTTTCCAGTTCTATCCAACTTTTGTTCATTTTTCTCATTTCTGTCTCCATTTCTCGGCGTCATGTGTTCTTTGGTCGATATTGCTGCAAAGCACATGTCAAAAGAGAAAACAACGTTTAGGACTTGTATAAAGTGAGACAATTGAAATATATTCATTCATTGATATCATTATGACAAGGGATTTTAATTATGCCAATGCCGATAATTTTGACTGGATTTTAATTATTCTTTGTTGATATATGTGCATCTAGTGTGGATTGTTTCAATATGGACATTTTGTACAAGTTTTTTATTGAATAGGTAGTTCTGTGAGTTGTAATGGTTTCAAGGACACACCAACATCAACACTAGGATGGATATACATTAAGCTGATTCCACTGTTAGTCATAAATCCATCTATTCTATACTGTTTAGCATGATGAAATACTTAACGAAGTAGCTTAGTGACTAAGGCACTCGATGCCAATTAGTGAGTTGTAAGTTTACTCAGTTCTTCATCTAGTTCTGTTCAGCACTACTAAACATCATACAAACATTTTGACTCGAAGCTCATATTTGATGGTTATTATTATCATTTCTGTAGAAATAAATAAATAAAATATCAGCTATGAATTTATGCTAATGCATACTTCATACTTATGTAAAGTAATAAATTAACGATTAGAAAGTATTCTGGTTTTGAACTAACAGACCATATATTCAGTCTGTATCAAGCATGTGGTATTGTTAACAAGTGTTACCTAACATGGGACATTAATTCAAGACTTGATGCTGATTACCTGTCAGTCAGATCTCATTCCAACATAGTGCACATAATATCGAGTCATTTAGACTATTAGATACACTTTCAAATTGATCGGTAGAATTTTAATGGGTTCTATGTAGAGTTAGACAAACAATGACATTGGATAACATTCAGTAATCAAATGACATTGTGTATCTTAGTGATTTTAAAGTAAATTTTATTTTTCAAAAGATAAATGGGAATGACACTGATTAACCAAATCATAAGATAACTTACAATAGAGACTATATGAAGAATATATCATAAAATATTGTTTATATTTTGATGGAGTCGACCGAACCATTCAGGTCAGAGAACAAAACCACCATTGTTTATATTTTCATTTTAAAGATATAATCGATATATTGTCGTTTTTTAGATGATCGAATATTCTTGCCATTTCTACGTCAAGCAAAATATAATCATTCAGAAGCTCAAATGCGTTTAGATAATTTTATTACATTGCGTACATCACCAGAAAGTCCTGTGGTTAATTGGTATGATCGTTCAACCATAACTAATACAATACTTGATGAATATTTAAACATGGGGTAAGTAATTGGTTGAGTAAATGTGGTTAATGAAATAGTTCATTAGCATTTAATTAAGTAGTATGTAACGCTAGTCAGGAATAGAATACCTGGCAGCAGAAGTTTGAGAAGATCGAGAAGGGAAGAATGGGGACAGAAGGCGATTGGTATGGAAATGCAGGACAATTAATGAACATTTTGCAAATAAAGTATTTACTGTACGGTTCTCAGATTTTACTAAGATATTCTGTTATGTTTTATTGAAATACATTAGTTTGTCCCTACTTGTGTTCTCGTTCAATTCCCTAATTATCAGACGCGTCAATTCAGGTAGATGGCATGCTCGGTTTTTTGGTGGAGTTTCGTCGAATGAGCTGGTTGGTTTAGTTGTTGAGCCTTCGTTCTTCAGGTAGAAGAAAAACCGAACATCATCTCTACCATTTCAATAGTATGATCAACTAAATATACTAGTGAGAAGACTGAGAAATGGCTAGAAAGATTTCATTGACAAGGCAAAGTGACAAAATAAAAACATCACCGGGATGAATATATATATATATATTTCTGAATCAGACTAGGTCATTAAGGCTGGGACCTTAACCAAGTGCAGAATCGATTGTTTCCCAAAAAGTGACTTGTTTATCTTTTCTCAATTACCAGTTGAAATTGAGATGGCATGTGAACACAAGCACATGATATGTCTAGATTTGTTCAACATATTAGTTTCATAAATTGACTTTAGTTGATAAACTACTGGAAGTGAGAGAACACTGAATGGTTTTTACTTAGGTCTGAATTTCTTATAAGTGTACAATGACTATCTCCAACCATGGATTCACACTCAAGATGTTCATGCTATACTATGGACTTGTTCCATTTAAACTATTAAATTGTAATCAAGCGGTCAGTAATTTTTATTTTACTGTTGAACAGACGTAACATCATATTAAAATGTATATAATATAATAGAAAATATTTTTACAACTGATCTATCACTGAGTAGTGACCAATACCATGTATCTGGATAGCTCAATGATCACGTTTCTGGGAAGGAAGCTGAGTAACACGAGATTAAATCTGGTAGAGATTATTATTTCCCTCAAGATACGTGTACACTTTTGTGATAAGTGTCAAACAGCATAAAACTTAGGTCCAGAGTTTCCTGTTGACTACCTCCAACCACTATCTAACATGAAAGAAGATTATTCTTTGCAATAAATTCTCATCATGCTTTAATGGTATAATGTATTTTTTTGGATTTTGTTGATATCATAAACCGATTAAAGTAAGATCACAACTGAAAACCTGGAAGTACTGCCTTATATTCTCTGAGCTAGCTGGTTTAATTTCAAAGCTTTTATCGCTGTTCTGGACAACATCAGAGTTCGCTTCGCATAGAAGTGAGCTGTTTATTTAATCCCCAATTGCTAGATCAGCCTGTTCCGATGACCTTATCTGTAATTGGTTTTTTTCAGATTTTCTTTGATTTCCTACGGAGATTTTTGTTTTGTTGACCTCCGGCCACGTGACTGACTGACGGAATAGCTAAGTTTAAGGAAAACACATTCGAAAAAATGAAATATAAGTTCACAATTTTTTCTTAAGAAAATGTAGGGTAGGGAGTATTTACATTCAGTAAATTAGATCATCTAATAAGTTTATAAAAATTTGATCAAGCTAAGATCATAAATTGGACATGTCCTTTTTGATAATGGGACTTCGATTTTATTTAAATTATGACTAGCTATTTACAGTATTAACTATACCGTTGCAGCATCACACACGCATTAGAAGTTGTTTATCAACCTAGAAATGTGCATTCTTCATAACTTTAATCAATGTAACTTGTTTCAAAAGAAACAAAATACAACAATATACTCAATTATGTTGCTATGATATGCAGTTTTTAAATCATTCAGTATTCAACAACTGCTTCTGTAAATGAAATCGAATAGATGAACAGAATGAAAAATTAATAATGATCATTATAAAATATGATTGTTGAACAAATGCTAACAGTAATTTAAATAAATAGAATGTAATTGTTGCTCAATGTTAGTAAATATTTGGATAAAACATTTTAAAATGAAATAATATCTAATATAAATAAGGTTAAGCGTTCGAGTGCGAGACTGATAGGTCCTGGATTCGAATCTTGTGGGGCGGGATCGTAGATGACTACTGCTGATAAGTCCCATTCTGAGATGAAACGACCGTCCAATGCTTTCAGGTTTTCCATGGTGGTCTAGCTTCAATTGCCTCATGAATTCAACTGTCAATTTACTATAATATCCACAAAACCCCTGTTTGATTATAAATCATTTTTTTCATTATTTCAATGTTTGTTTATTATTCTGATCAGCTTTCATTGTCCAATTGGATTCCTTCATGATGGGACATTTTTATTTCTGATTCGAATTGGTAAGTTATTATAATCTTTTGCAGATATATATATATATATATATATATATATATATATATATATAAATGGACATAAAGACTTTTATAAACAATTTTAAATGGATCTAAATTTAGCACAGTTGACTTAAATGATTACTAAGTTAATTTTTACTTAAGTAGTATCACACACTGATATGGATTACTGTAAGTGATCAACATTCAGTCTTACATGACTAATAACTATGAACATGGGACAGAGTGATGGAAGAATAAATCTCTGGATTTGAGTGCACATCCTGTTGAAAAAGTGCTATTGGTTTACTTGTATTATTTGTTTGAATCTTTCCATTGATCTTTAGGACTACAGTAGATCAATCTCTTTTTCAGTAGTGCAAAGTTTTGAAGTGGTGAGAAATCTTTTTTACTCAGGTGGATGATTTCGGTTTTGTTGCATTCTGTATGTTAGATGATCTAAGTACAAAGCTCTTGTTTTTATTTTGAACAACAACAGCAGAAGCGATATTTCTGATTATTCGTTCTGATAACTATGTTTTCGACTGGTTATATTTACTGGTTTATTGTCTTTATGGGTTCACTTTGTTCCCATTTTGGCTGTTTGAACAGTTGGTGTCTGACGATGGTGATTGTTTAACTTTTTCCACATCAATATATAAATTTGATCTATATCGATATGTCTGTCAGTTGATTTTAATTTAATGATTCTAGAAATCTTCTTGATCAAGAATTTTAACATTTCCTTAATCAAGTTTGTGACTGTATGCATCAATATGTTTAATGAATAACTAACCTAGTAAAAAAATTAGTTCATACCATTCATCCGAAATAATTGTTTTTGGCATTTTTAAAATGATCTTAATCAATCCATACCTTTTCATCTTTATCCATTATCTCTGTCCTGAATTTGAAACATATGTATTACTAAATGGTCCCTTTATCCGGGAAGCTGCATGTGGTAAGAGATCGTATTTGAATAATAAATTCTTTTTATTATCAGAATGAGGATTTGTGGAGATTGAATTAATGAGTTGATCTGAGCTGGACTACTTTTAAAAACCTGGGAGCACTGGACGACCATTTCGCTCTAGTATGGGACTCCTCAACAGTGCGCATCCACGATCCCATGGTCGCGCACGAAACTGAAGATCCTGGGTTTGCGTCCTCCATGCGGCATCGTGGATGCACACTACTCAGAAGTCCCATAATAGGACGAGACGGTCGTTTAGTGATTCCGGGTTTTTAATTGTGGTCTAGGTTAAATCGACTCATGAATTCAACTCTTAAAATAATGTTTTTACTCCAAACGATACAATATTTAATTCTTAGTTAATTTGACATTTTCAGAGTATGCATTAATTATTTTGTTTTTAGGTTGCTGGAACAATAATCGTGTATCTACCGAGAGTGTACTCAAATTACTCATGATTCAGTTAGATCGTATCTTGGAAGATCCAAGAGTTCAAATTTGTGGTTTGCGAGTGTTTATTGATTTCACCGGTGTCTCACCTTCTCTATTGGATACAATTAATCCGAAAAAGACCATTAAAGATTTAAGTAAAGTATTACAGGTAAGCTTTTATATGTACATACATACATTTTTTTGGTCCAGTAGAAACATTGTTAAATAATTTTGTTTTCATATTAACTGACTAATATAATGTCAAAATATTTAATTTCATAATAAACAACATTGTACGTACACAATTCAAATGACAATCGCGTAAAGGTAGGCGAATGCATAATGAAAGGATCGATCAGCGTCTTGATAGCGATTTCAAGGTTACAACCCGTCTTTGAACTGAAAATGCTTACCGTTGACAAAGCGATATTGTGTGATTTTGATGAAAGCGTGATTGTACAATACTTTCAAACTGTAAGTTTGTTGCGAAGAAAAATGAAGTATGATTGGAGTTTGCAAATTAATAAAGATGTTTTCGAAATAAATCATGAGGGTTGTTTTTAAATGCAACTGTTGCTACAGAAAATGTTCATTAGAACAAATTACATCAAGGCTGATTTTAACATAAATGGTGTTACTGGTAATATAATGACTGTTGGGCCAGCTTTGATGAATTTAACTAAAGTGACTGCAATTTATTGGTATCAGTATATATCGAGAAATATTCTTAGAAATATTGTTTAGTCATATTGGGAAAAGTTGTTGAGACAAGCGAGACAATAATCACAAAACCTAAATGTAGCAAGGGACGGAGTTTGAAGGAGGATCGGGTAAGTGTCTGTAAGTTTCTGGAACATGGGATGGAATACTATTTAAGTCACTTCAAAAAGTGAAAATCCAAATAATAATTACTGGTATGGAGAGCCAATCAGAGGTAGCCTAATGAGAAAGTCAACCGATGGCAATCAGAAGTGACCTAAAAGACGAGTGCATTTCATTGGCTAAGAAATAGATTAATTTCTTAAGGATTAGAGTGATATATATATATATATATATATATATATATATATATATATATATATATGAGTCTTTGTACATTTTATTCGGTAGCCCAATACACTTTCTGTCCCACTCTTGTGTTCTCGCTCAAGTAGTCAGTTAGAGAGTTAACGCGTAGCACACCATGTATCAGTGTCAGATTTTGGACATTGCCTGTCACAACAGATACTTATACCAATAATTCAGAAAATGATTCACTCTGAAACAAGGGTGCTTATGCGTGACTGGGGGTTTATAAATCCCTTTTCAGACTGAAATATTATTATCATATTGTTGTTTATAAGAAACACTGCAGATTCATCGATAATTGTAGATATATCGAGGCAAGTTGAACATCGTCCAAAATGTATCATGCTGCATATCCATACGGAAGAATATATAAATTGTTATTTTTTATTTTACAGACAGAAACCTCTATAGGCAACTTCAGTAAATTCATTAACCGTCCATACTTTTTTTCCAATATTCAATAAAAGTGTGATGTTTAATATTTTCAAGCATTTTCTCCTTTGTCTAGTGGGTGAGTGCTTCATATGACGATATAAATTATCCCGGCATATATATATATATATATATGCCTTCCATGAACATCGCACTATAGAGAATTCTAAATTATCAGATGAAAATAAGCAAATAAAGTGAAAGTTAGAGCTTGAAATGAAAATCTCAGTGTAAATTATGCTCATACGTGCTACACTCACCCCTTAGATGAACGGGAAAATTACCCGAAAATAATTTCTACCTTACACATACTGAACAATCAAAAAGGAGGATGTGGAATAAATTCACAGACATGCATCCAATCTCCGTTGTTAGTTTTATAAACGAATTAAAATTTTGAAATTACTTTTAAAAAAAGTTAACCTTAATTGTAACTAATTATTTTCCGTTAGGAAGCTTATCCATTTCGTATGAAAGGAATAATCTATTATAATGAACCGCCAATTATGGAAGTTTTGTTCAAATTACTAGCACTGTGGTTGAGACCAAAAGTTAGAGAACGGGTAGGTTTTTTAAAATATTTTTGGTATTCATATAAAATGCACAGAGAAGGTGGAATGTAGATGGCAGTTGAATCGAGGACTCGCTTTTCATTTCATTTAGGACTCTTTAGTAGGATGTATCGCTTCACTTCTGAGTTGATTTTCACTCCGGGATTAGAACATAGTAACGCTAGCTCAAAACTTCAACACGTTTTCTATTTAGCTACTCACTTGTGCACCTAGTATGAATTCCAATTTAATTCGTGATGTTCTGGATTATATAGAGTGTGTTTGTAGCATTAATTTAGATGGGAGTGTGTTGATGTGCATTAGTACTGTTAGGTTACAGTCAAATTAAACTTTACATATCAGATTTCATTTTTCGAAATTTACAGCCACTTTTTATCCTGACTTGACGTTTACTAACTTTTTTATATGAACAGATAAGAAATCGTTTATGTCGAAGGCCACAAGTCAAGGAATATAATGTTAACTCGTAAACGGATTTACTTAACAAAAATATTTTTTAACAGTTAGTAACAAATACTGTGAATAAATGTAGTTGAGTTTCAAGCCTGTATTATGGTATGCCGAATCGTTTCAGTCCTTATCACAGGTATCTTAACTGCTATTCCTATTAACCATGAGAGATTACAAGACTAAGAAAAGGTAGAGAGCTTTAACGACAAAACCAAATAAAAGTATGTGCGACTTTTAGGAATTTCCATCACACACACACACACTCTCTCACTAATATAAATAAGACTATGTAGGTTATGACCTTGGTAAGATGAATAACTTATTTACTTATAATAGTCCGTCCCTTTCTACATTTTTTCACTTAGGCTCTACCATGCTAGACAAATCAATTGGAAGACAATAAGTTTAAAAGCATAAAACTCATAGTCCAAAGATAAAGCCGTATTATCGTCAGGACAATAAGATTATTTTTTTAGACAATCGGCATCTGGGATGATGCTGCCTTTGTATAACGGAGGGATTTATAAATGACTAGGCCTAAAAGTAACATACCTTAATCTACCCTACGGATTTCCGCCTCATATGATAAAGTCTATAAGATATATAACTAATTCATAACGACTACTAGCAAAAATGTCATTTATGACCAGTCCTTGTGCTTTATGATCACGCTATCAAAATCAATCATAACTCAGTTTCATTTGCAAGTATCACATAAAGAAATATTCTTTGATAGTTTGGTCAACCCGAAAACAACCTACATATTTCTGATAGTATTTGAGAACATTTTGTTCATTTAGTTTCATTTCATAGATGATAATGAAAACTAAATCCAAATGAACTAACTTTCATAATTAATTATGTATTCTGTAAACTAGATCGTTTAATTATAAAGTTTACATTATCATTCAAAAAGGCATTCACATTTATGACACTGAAAGCTTCACAATGAAACCATATACAGTAAACAAATAGAATATAAGAAATACAGGATTGATTATTAATTGAAAGTCAATTCTTGTTGCTACATTAAAAATAAGACATTTTCTGTTTGTTTTACTTTGAAAATTATAATAATGTCAGTGTGACTTTCTGTATGTTTAAAAGAAAACACTGACACCTTTTAATTAAACAATAATGAAACAATTGAAGTTTATAATGTTGGTACTGGATTATAAAAAGAAAAAAGAAAAGGCTTTTTCTTGTGAAATGAATAAATTATACAACTTTCATGTTAACTATAAATACAAGAGTAGTATTTATTTGATTATTTACTAAAACATTATTGGTCACTTTAATCTAGTTCCATGATTTCTAATCTAGTTACCAATAAATCATTTCGAAAGGGAATAAGTCAGCTTTTACTTACTTTACTTACGCCTGTTACTCCTAATGGAGCATAGGCCGCTGACCAGCATTCTCCAACCCACTCTGTTCTGGGCCTTCTTTTCTAGTTCCATCCAATTCTTGTTCATTTTTCTCATGTCTATCTCCATTTCTCGGCGTAATGTGTTCTTTGGTCTTCCTCTTTTCCTTTGACATTGAGGATTCCAAGTGAGGGCTTGCCTTGTGACGCAGTTGGGTGCTTTCCTTAATGTGTGTCCTATCCACTTCCAGCGCTTCTTCCTGATTTCTTCCTCCGCTGGGATCTGGTTTGTTCTCTCCAACAGTACGTTGTTGCTAAAAGTGTCCGGCCAACGGATCCGAAGTATAGATGGTAGTTGGAGGTAGTCAACAAGAAACCCTGGACCCGGGTTTCGTGCTACTTGTCACTCGTCAGCAAGGTGTACCTGTAATCTTGAGAGAACCGGTGCTCCCTGGCGGATTCGATCTCGTGTCACCCAGCTTCACAGTCAGAGACGTTATCACTGAGCTATCGGAGCCGTGACTAACCTCCTGTAGGACTGAGATGTAATCACAATTGATTGATCACTGGGTGGTGATCAATGTCATGCTTGTCTAGTCCTTATTAGTGCAGATCGAATGCTATCGATCATGTTGCAATGTGGCCACCAGTCTAGGTGACTCGACACTGCGGGCATTCGATCTGCACTAATGAGGACTAGACAAGTATGACATTGATCACCACCCAGTGATCAATCAATTGTGGATTCGAAGTATTTTGCGTAGACAACTGTTAATAAACACTTGTATTTTCTGGATGATAGCTTTCGTAGTTCTCCAGGTTTCTGCCCCATACAGTAGAACTGTCTTGACATTTGTATTGAAAATCCTGACCTTGGTGTTGGTTGACAATTGTTTGGAGTTCCAGATGTTCTTCAGTTGTAAATATGTTGCTCTTGCTTTACCGATTCGCGCTTTCACATCCGCATCAGTTCCACCATGTTCATCAATGATGCTGCCCAAATATGTAAAGGTTTTTACATCTTCCAAATCTTCTCCGTCAATTGTGACTGGATTGGTGCATTCTGTGTTGTATCGGAGAATCTTGCTTTTCCCAGGCGGAGTCGAATAAGTCAGCTACATATACTTATTCAATAATTTCCAAAGTATCTTATTAATAGTGATAATTATTTTGAATTTCATGAACTCGACAGAGTAGTCCAGTTCAGGCTATTGTTGGAAGTGAGTTGGTAAGAGAGAGAGAGAGAGAGAGAGGTGATCGTTGATAATCACTACAAATTCGATTTGATGGTTGTGGTACAATATATATTGATACTCATGTTAATTACTTATTCATAATCGTCATCACATGACTATGTATCGACTATTTTATTGACTAACTAGCTGAATCTATAATGACGTACCTTCTCAAATGTTCTACTTTCAAGTATCAAATTTCATATGATTCAGAGACATTTCTACATTGTTTTTAATCAAACCTTAAATTCAAAACTTATAGTTATTCTCAATATGTTGTTGAATTACTTATGCATGACCATGAATGAGAAAGTATCGAGTGTGTGCATTTATTTGCATCAACTTTATCCAATATGACTTATTATTATTATTGTTGAAACCATCCGCTCTTGTAGATGACATCGATGTTGTTTTTTTGTTTATCACTATCGCATATTATAATTGATGTGATACAATTGTGTGACATTGTTTATTAATACCGGAAGTTTATTGAAATCTTGGAAATGATCATTATTTCAAAAATAATAGTTTTAGTTCATTTGAGAATAGTTTCATGATTATAGAATGAGATAATCAATAAATTTATCAGTGTTATGATTTTGATAAACGGTTATGATTGCGTGAAAAATAACAAATTACTTTCATTAGTTGATTTTGTCACTTAAATATCACTGCATATGTGACTAAATGTATGTTGTTTACTTGATGTAGTACAGTTTTTGTATTACAATGTAGTGGACGCTATTCACAAGATCTCTTGTAAATAGTATATAGCGGAACGTGTCTTCAAAGTTGTCACAGTCGTCCGGTGGAGTGAAGAGTTTAGTACATCGAAAGCATGGCGTAGGGAAAATACTTGATGGCCAGACAAGACAGTTTAGTTTGCAGAACACATCGCGAGATGTAAATGAATGATCGAAGGTTATATATACGTATTATCTAAATACTACTGTAATTTCTCTTAACCGTTGATCATTGTCCTATTATATACCGGCCGAAACATGTTTACAGATATGAAGGAATAAATTAGTTGTGAAATGAGGAATTATTTCAACGCGAAAAATAGATTCAATTACTCTGATATTCGTGGATCATATTCGTACTGATCAATATTAAGATACTTGACTTGGCATCACTCGTTACTAAATAATCAACAGTTAATTATATAAACACAATTTGTAGATATTTTAAGATTAAAACGTTACAATCCCAAAGTGTAAGTGAGTTATATACTTGCTCATTCCTGAGAATCACTCATTTTCTAGTATTCCGTTGGAGATCAACTTTAAAAGCCGTTGCCCTCCTTCATATTAATCAAGATATTTTCTTCTTTAAAACTTAGAAATTAATCTGGTTTCAGTTTTTTGTTTATCAGGAGTTCTATCACATGTACAGTGAACTATTTTGTTATAAAATCACACAGATATTACTTATAATACTTCTTTTTGTAAGTTGAGCACATGATCAGTTTCATTAATCCTTGATTTGATGATCAAGACATCAAAAGAAGTCTTGTTATTCTACTTCTTTCGTCTTGTTAATCAAACATAATTTAAAATGGTATTGACACATTTCCAAGTGTTGTTTCTAATGTTGTTCTTCTTGAAAGATGATGAGTGCGCTATAATTAGTTAAATTGTAGGTAATAAATAACGGGTAAAGAGGAATAGATCATTGGTTGTATTCAGGCTGCATGACGAGAGGTAATGCGTTATTCATTTGGGAAAGGTCAGCGTTCATATGTTGCTATCATTATTGTCACTTATAGGTATTCTTGAGCCGAGAATATTTTTGTTAGGTTTTTCGAGATAACTCTTTCCATGGAGGCTTAGTTTACTCAACGTAACTAGTTGGTAAAAGATTAAGAATTCGGAAGCGATTGGGTCGGATAGCAGAACATAATAAACTGTAAATTATTCTATGGTAGATTCTACCATAAATTTAGCTACTGACATTGTGGTTGACATAAATGTTCGCTTGTATGTACGTGTACAGAAGCTTTAAAATAAAGATATACTATTAGGTTTAAACTCGATCAACTCCCTGTGTGTTCCAAGTTTTTTGATGAGAAAAAAGAAATCTTAAAAAATAATCACAGAAAGTTATGGAAGATGGTCGCACACTATTGTGGACGAATCAAAGTTAAATCTGCGGGTCCTCGTTTCAATCCTCGATGGGGTCAAGGAGCACGCAGATTCACTTTCGCACTAGCACAAAGTAATTGTTCAGTACGTCCTGGTTTCAAATGGTTTACATAAGAAAGACTAGAAAGGTAAGCTTAATGGAATTAAATAACTTCGTAACATGTGATCCAGGCTAATATTAATATTGCACACAGCATTAACATTTCCTGACCAGTACCAACGATTCACGTGTTGATATTTAGTCAATATTTACTACAATGGAATCCTCATTTATTGACATTAATGAACAATTAACTCACAACCGGATATGATTTTCTCATTTTTGTCACATAATTACTCACTTGTTGCATAAATCGACAGAATCGCATACAAATGGTTATCAGGCTCTTGACTTAAAACAAGTTTTTTTTTCTTTTTTTTCTTTTCCAACAGTTTATAAGAGTAAAAGGTAATATAAAGAAAGCCTATGAAAAAGTACCTGGTCTTGAAAGTGTACTGCCCAGAGAATATGGTGGTCATAATAGAAGTATTAAAGACATTTTAAGTGAGTTAGTTAATAGGAAAAATGAATAAATTATTATAATTATGATTATTATTATTGCATATATCTGATAAACTTAATGTTAGAGGAGTTGATTTTCTGGTCGATTTTTGGGCTCCTGGAACCGTTGTCACTTGCGTTCTGAACGAAATTAAACAGGTGGAAATATATGGAAGAGACTTTATTCTCAAGGCTAACTCATGAACTAAGAAGAAAGGTATTTATTAAGCGATTACAAGTGACCTTTGGAAAAATATGAAAATATGTATGGATCTCATACAACCTACCTTTAATTTACATGATATATGAAGGTACCATCGAGATGAGTATTACATCATACTTCGAAGATGACTAATTGTTTAACTGATTGAATCACTATGAAGTTATGCATTGTAATCATGAAACATTAGTTAATAATAATATATATGTGATTTTAAAGTGGTAAGCTATTACATTTTATCCCAAGGTATGGTAAAAATTATATCTAATGAAGTTAGCTTATTCATAGTTCGCAACTGGTTGAAGAATTATTAAGAACTTGTAACATCGTCTCGGATTAGGAAAACAGTGAACGTAATGAAATAATTACAAGGCATAACTCAAGACATTGGTGTTTCATATTGAACACGTTAAAATTAGGAAATTAATTTGGAATCGATTATTCAATTTAGTAGAAATCTTAACATCGATACGACATGGACAAAGTAATTAGATAGGTGATAAGGGCATATTTACACATTTTGATACTTGCAAAATGATAAGGTAGAAGTAAATTCAAGGTTCTTAATTCGTATGCAACAACTATTAACGGGGTCCTGCCAGGTTATGTTGATAGGAGCCTTGTGCTTACTTGAATTGTTGACTACTCTGAGTTGGATAGTTCAATTGAGGAAATTTAGTTTTCCTTTTTGAAAAATTTTTAGGGCCTACTTCAATTAATCTACCATCACTAGATCAGTCTTCCATAATGACAACGTTCTCGACCGGTTGTCTTTATAGGTTTTATCAACCTCATTCATCCTACAGGTGTTTTTCCCAGTGATTATGTGATATATAGAATTTTTCCTTTTAAATTGATATATTAAATCTATTCATAATGTGTCTGTTGATTGCAGACTATCTTCAATGACAAGCTCCTAATAATTCTCGGGAATTCGTAAAATCCAGTCCCTATTTACGAACTTTTTTGTTTCACTACTAACTAGGATTAAGTAGCACGAAAAGTTGTGACAATAAATTCCAGCTGGAGCGTTTGTTACAACCGTCTTGTTTGTGGTTAAATTTCTGTCATTGCCCGAACAAGCTAACCAATCTTAATGAATCTCCAAACATTTCATTTATGACCTGTTCATATTCTTCTCTGGTGAAGTTATACAATCTGTTCGTTTTGATAAACATATACATACTTCCATTTGACTGTGGTTCTAATTATGACTAGAACAAAGATGGTTGATTTACAAGCTCCCTACTTTTAATATATGATTAATTATAATAATGGAGTATTGAAGTAACGTAAAAATCAGTCTACGTGTTTCTTAATGCATAATGATGAATGTACCTAATGATCATAGTTTATACAAAAGGCTTGTCTTGGAGACCTGTTGAAATTCAAGTACTCGACAGTTTTTTCCCGATTATGGGACTCTTCAGTAATGTACAAAGTGGTTGTGCAATATCACTAATTGATTGAAGTTAGAAATGCAAATCATATCAACACAATAGTCCAAATATTAAGTGTTTACCGGGAAACCTTAAAGTTTTGGCTTTCATACTAGGTGGAATAATGGATGTCCACTGTTAAGAAATTTATACTAAAACGACACAACTGTCCAGCACTTTCTGATTTACATTGTTTATACAACTGAGGTCAGTCCGTGATATAAAATATGGAAGTATGAACTCTTCACAGATTTTCTATATTAAACGATTATCAATATGAACTCAATACTACTTAATGTATCATAGGTGATTTGTACCAACTAAATAACTCATTCAGTATTACACAATTATGTAATAACCTCCAAGAATAATTGAGTTGCAATACAAATAATTTATGTTTGTAATATCACTTTTGCTCTATTTAATCCGGAGTTAGTCATCTTGGTAATACTATTACGCAATCGAAAGTTACTTCGAAGAAAGCATACAAGCATGTATACAGAAGCAACCTTTTTCGCTAAAAACTATAATGCTCATGTTTGTCAAATTTTATCTATTATTTTCCTCCTTTTCATACATATGTATCTGATAAACAGAAGAACAAAACGCTGATTTTAAAGAATACTTTTTAAAAAATGAAATATTATGGAGAGGAATGGCAGTCAATGAAAGAAAACGACCAGAATCATCGAAACGATTAATAGGTGAATATAAAGAAGCTGAAGATAGATCAATGGGTACAACTGGAACATTTATTCCATTACCCGTGAATGACTAATTTCTGAATTCATGTCGGATTACATTTAGACGATATATTTTTTCTATAATATCGAAACCAACAACAGTCAAAATAGATGTAAATTTGTACAATTTAATAAAATGAAAGCAATTAGTGATTACTTATTATTATTATTATTTTTATTATTATTATGGTGAAATAGAAAGTACAAAAGTTTCGATTTTTTTCTTTCGTACGATTTAATGTAAATGTATATCTTCAAAAGATACACTGATATACAATGCAATCAATTTAATTGATGAGATGAAGATTAACCGATAAGTGTAAGCTTGAATCAAATAGATGTAGAATGGTTAAACAAAAAAGATTTTTGATTGAGATCATGAATCGATTGATATTAGAACATCATTGAAAACCTGGAAGCACTGGATGGCCGTTTCGTCCTATTGTGGGACTCCTCAGCAGTGTGCATCCACGATTCCGTTCGCGAGATTCCAACACAGGGCCTTCAGTCTCGCGCGTGAGACCAGACTACTGAGCCGGCATCCAATGGTTTTAGTGTCTAACATCAACCAATCCACGAAATTGCGCGACCATCTCCCAATGTACTGAGGTAGACACTTTTTTCTACCCGATACGGATTAGCTCCACTGGTCACGGCTGAATTTACGAATTTACATAATTTTTCTTTAGAATTAATAATTCAATTACTGGTTTAAGATCTTCGTTACAGTACTATGAGTTATCAAACTACCAAAATGGTTTTATTTAGAAATTTACCTTGAAATTAGTGATTGGTGACAGGTAATGGAATGTGAAATTATTTCATATTTGCTCAGATTTGAATACTTCATACAGTCAATATTTTAATAACAATTAATACAAATTATGTGAAAAGATTAGTTGACACATTTTCAGTATAACAGAACGTGTAACATATAAATTATTATTGAATATAGTGGAAATTATTGATGTAAACTTGTGGGAAACCCATTCCACTATTGTATTATTTATCTGCTTACTGTAATTTACGCACTTAATCCACTATGTAATTTTCTGTGTGAGTCTGATTGAGAATATGTCAATCATTTAGATGGTAGTTGGAGGTAGTCAACAGGAAACCCTGGACCCGGGTTTCGTGCTACTAGGCACTCGTCAGCAAGGTGTACCTGTAATCTTGAGGGAACTGGTGCTCCCTGGCGGGTTCAATCTCGTGCCACCCAGCTTCACAGCCAGAGACGTTACCGCTGAGCTATCCGAACCGCGTCAATTATCCTCCCATTGGTTGTAATATTACAGACTATCTCTATAACTGGTGTTTAGGCTTTTGAATAAATCTTAAGTAAATCCATACTTCTGCTAGGAGATTTAGTCTGCATTAAATACTCAGTCAATGGGATGTAGTCAGATATAAGGGAAATTAGACTCTACAAGCTTCTGAAATTCATTTATTTGGTAACAACTAAGAGGATGGTGCCAAAATTAACAATGAAATGTTTTTTAAAGATAAACTGACCTGGAACAAAGAAATAATTGAACTTGTCATTTATTTATTTCAACACATGAATATTGGTACAAGACAGCGCCAATATCTATGCGCCACACAAAACAATGAGAATTCGAAGAGAAAGAAAAAAAGGTAAGGAGCGTGAAAAAAGAGAATAATAACGAAGAGGTTGGTGAGATTGGGCAACCCTGCCTAACTCCACTACTCGAATGGAACAATGGAGTGAGGTGGTTGGATGCCCTCACTCTGCCTGAGGTGTTTGTATATAGGGCTTTTAGGATGTTAATAAACTTCTCAGGCACATCCTTCTTCAATAGATAATCCCAGAGAACAGTCCTATCCAACGAATCGAAGGCAGCCCTGATGTCGAGAAACACTACGATTGTTGGCCTTTGATAAGTATGGCGGTGTTCTAACATTTGGCAGAGGGTGAAGATGTGATCAATACATCCTCGACCAGAACGAAACCCAGCCTGTTCCTCACGAGTCAATCTTTCTCGAGTTTTGAACAACCTACGAAGTATGACGGAAGCCAAAAGCTTGGACGCAATCGGAAGTAGACTTATCCCCCGATAGTTGTTACAGGAACGAAGTGAACCCTTTTTAAAGATAGGGACAACTATCGACTCATTCCATGACGTTGGTACACTCTCTAGTTCCCAAACCTTTGTAAACAACGTCGTCAATTCCTTAGTCAGAAAGTCACCACCATTTTTAAAAAGGGCCGGAGGTACGTCATCTAGGCCAGGTGATTTGTAACGCTCCAAGAGTTGGAGTTCCTTGCGGACTTCCTCCTCATTTGGTGGGTCAGTCGTCACCGGCCATGGAGGGCAGGACAGTCTGACCGATGTTGCCGGAGCAGCAGGCCAGTTGAAATGCGCTTCGAAAATGCTGCCCATCGTCCAAGACGTCGATGGATGTTAGTGATTGGCATCCCGTCATCCTCGCAGATTGTTTCGCTCACACCAGACTTCTCGCTGCCAGTGGCTCGGATGAGTTGGAAGAGCTTCCGGTAATTACCAGATGCACCTGCTGCTTCCAACTCATTAGCACGCTTCGACCACCAGGCTTCTCGGTCCTTACGCAAGCTTTGCCCAATTTCCTTGCGTAACAACCTTCGTTTGTGGTCAAACTCACGGTCACCCGGAGTAGACCGACGGGCTTCAATGAGTTGTAAGGAACCTGCAGAAACCCAATGCTTATAAGCGGGACGTTTCGCGAACCCACAACTGACTGTACCCGCCATTTTCATGGCGTCATGCAATTGCAACCAATGCTCATCTATACTTTTCAGTGGAATGGTAGCTAGCCTAGAAGCTAGCTCGGTTCGATACTTACTATCAACAGAAGTTGCAACCAGCTTGCTAACATCAATCTTTTGGTGGGGGTCACTTCGTTGTCCACTGAAAAGTAAGGCAAGATTGGCGCAGACCAAGGCATAGTCAGAGTCCAGATAGGTACTCCAAAAGGAGCGGCAGTCTTGTACACAAGCACGCCAAGGGTAGCTGATCGCGATGTGATCAATCTGAGTCCAGGCTTGAGATGCAGAGGGAGGACGCCAGGTGACACATCGGCGATGACTGTGCCGAAAGTTAGTGCTAGCCAGAAACAGGTTGTGGTCTGCAAAGTTGTAGTAGACGGTCCCCGTTATCTGACCTGCGACCAACGAGTCCCCATCGACCACCTAAACGACTCTCTTCTGTGTCTAGACGCCCGACCTGAGCATTCAAGTCTCCGGCAAGTAACTACAATATCTGTCGAACGCACTTTCTGGAGAAGAACAGATAACTGGTGGTAAAACTCATCCTTGATTTCATCCGGGTTGCAATCTGCTGGGGCATAGGCGGAGATAACGGAAAGACATCGTTTCTCACGCTGATTTATTCTAACTTTGATGGAACTCTCTAATCTAACAGCACATAACCGACTGTTAATGGGGATCCAATCGATTAGTGCTGCTTCAGCCCTAGCGCTTAGTGCGACACCAACGCCAGTCAGACCAGACGAAGATGCCACGAGGTCCCCGGATAAACGCACATGAAACAAGATTTTTGAAGCGACAGATGGAGAGCGAATTTGTAGTGCTTCATCAGAGTCCTGAATATGGGTTTCGGATAGACAACTAACGTCGATATTAACACTTTCCAAAGACATAGCCAGCCCTATCTGTTGTCCAACCTGCATAAGTGTGCGAAAGTTGAAGGCAGCCAGTTTGAATGGTGCACGTGGTTTCAGAAAAACTGCTTCAGTTCTCGTATTCGGTGGTAACATACAATTTTCAACCGGACAGTGACTCGAGAACGTTTAGATACAGTCGAATTTCCACCAAAGACGAGCCGCTGTATAAGTATAATAATTAGTAGATTAGGGATGATAAGTTTGCTATGATCATCGAAGTGAAACGATTCTAACATTACCTGGTTCCATGCAGCCCCTTTCGTAAAAGTAGCAGAATCTCTTTGCCGAATATTTTATTTAGGAAGTTTAAATAATGGATTGACTTAAGTTAAAGAATCCCTGAAAATTAAGAACTGGATAACTGTTCCATCAACAGTGCCCATCTACGATCCCGTCGGTAATCGATTGAAAAATTTCAATTTTCGTTAGTACTTAAAATTTGAATTAATGAGTTTGGATTTGACAGTCCACAATTTCAATCTTAGTCAATTTGTAATATAGCGGAACTATCATCCATTGCCAGTGGTGGTACTTGACCTACACCTGACATGGTTATACTCCATTTGGTTACGAGAATTTTTTTTTGAAGTTAATTACTAATGAAGATTTGATTACTACTAACAATTTCATAGTTGGCTAATTCTTAGTGCCCGTCGAATTTAAGTTGCATTCATACCACTAGTTGCCATAATAAGATGTACCTAGAATCTTCGGAGAACTGATGCTTTCTATAAGACTGAGTCCAATGTCGTAATAATATCACAGTTATTATTATTATATTATATTGTACAACGATCAAGTTGATATTAGTATACCTAGTATCATTAGCTGTGAAGCATAAAATTTTATATAAAAAAACCTGTACTTGGTATAAATATGTATCGTTATTTATCAAAGAACGAAAATATTTACCAATAATAATATTATTATTAATAATTATTATCACAAATTATTTATGGTCAACTGAAATACCGATGATTAAACCGTACACAGAAGAGATAGAAACAATGTAAACAAACTCTCTAGAAGCTGAGGAAAAGGAGAGCAAAATGTGAAAACAGTTTCTGTACATACACATTTATCCATACAACATAAAACATTGGAAACAGTAGTCAGTATAAAAACACAATCTCCCGTACACACACATACAGCCTACTCTGATTGTTCGAAGAAAACACAACAACATATCGCGGTGTATATAAGGATGAATGTAATGGTCTAAAAAAGCGTGCTTTATTTTACTAATACTCTCTGTTTCTCTCCCTCTCTGAGTACAGACAACAACACCACGACACTTTTCATCTTTCCCTTCATAATCACTTACACGATAAGCAAGAAAGAAAGAAAACTCTTTGACATATACATACACTCAATATAAGCATTAAACCATGGTATCCAGTAGGATACACACAACAAATGGACAAAAAGAAAAAAACTAGATGAATGTCGGAAAAAGTGGAGGGTAGGAAGAGAGAGAGAGAGTCTTTAATCAAAAAATACATACATACACAAAATGATAAATCTATTTCGTTTACTTTCGTTACAGACAAAACGAAACATTAGAAAAATCAAATGTGAAATAGAAACAATGTGTGTATGTAGTTCAAGGATGAAGTACCGCTAGGTTTCTTTTTTTGACCTCGAACAGTATGTTTTTTTTTTCTATAATGAAAAAAATTAATTTTTTTCAGAATATTTGTGTTTTAGATAAGAATCAAATAAGAGGTAATTGATAACCTGAAAGCTAAAATTGTTCACTCATTCAAAATGAAGAAGAGTAAAGGAAGAGCAAAGACAATGAAGGTGTTGGTTCAAAGTAGGACTATTAGATTATTTTATTGTAATAAAAAAAGGGATGCTAATAATGAGGGAAGAGGAAGTAAAAGTTAGTAATTTATATATATTACTATTCACAAAATAAAATACTTATTTTAGAAAAACAGAACATTTTATGTGATATATGCGAGGTACTAGTAGTAGTAGTAGTAGTAGTGGAGAATAGTGTGTATGTATACGCAGAATTAGTTCAAAATAGAAACATGAAAAAGAAGGCTCCATTTGTGTATGCAAAGAGAAATAATGAAAATAATCAAATGAACATGTTTACATGTGTTAGAGGAAATAAATTACACATTTGACTATTATTTTTCTGGAGAAAAGAGGCACATGAAGGATATGCGGGAGAGAGAGAGAGAGTAACAAGTGTACACTTTTGAAGTATCTAATTACGTTTCGATATATTGTGTATTTACTCAAAGCAGAATAAAAACCGAGATGTTAAACCACAATAAATTAGATATTTCATAATTCAACGCTAAAAATCTGATTTTTTGTTCAGTTAACTAGAACAGTCAATTGATGTATTAAAGAGTAGTATGCCAGTCGTAATCTCTCGAAACATATACTCTCTCTCTCTCATTGTTATGTGTATGTGTGTGTTGATGGAGAAGCAGTAAGAAGTAAACAGTTAGCTTCTTACATTCAATCATTTTGCATTTATATAAATAATTTGTTGACCATTAATTGATTCGACCGGGTTGTAAGAATAGTGTGGTAGACAAAAAGAAATCATATATTGGTAGTAGTAGTAGTAGTAACAACAACAACAACAGAACACAACATTTCGATGTTGTTCATGGAATTAAAACAAAAACAGAGAAAAACCGCCCAACGAGACAAGTAAAAATGAAAATCTGACTAAAATGATGTGAGAAAAACAAACATGACAAAAATTGATTCACTAATTAACTTAATTTAACAACAGTGAATTAGATGGGAAGCAAATAGCATAAGTATTATGTAATCTTCAAATAAAATGCCACTCTTTATATTTCATTTGTATGCATTTCTTACTGTGGGAGGAAGAAGTTGATGAGAAAATGGTTTTCTTTTGTTATTTGCAAATGTGTAAAAGGAAATAGACAAATTCTTATGATATTGATTAGTAGAAACGTCTGACATCATCACCATGATCACGACGACAGTAGATGGTAATGACGAGAAATAAGAGAGGGAGGAAGAGTCAAAGAATTGGTTTCATACAGATGATTGGTACACACACACATATATATATATATATGATCGATAATTGGGATTACTTTTTTAACAAACAATAATGGATGATGAGTGGATCAACTTCTGGTTGTAATTGAATCTTCAGATGTGGCTGAACTTTGTTGACGGTCAATATAGAGTTTCAAAAGGCGTTTCTGTTGAGTAAGGATACAATGGAGGAAGGTTAGAGAAAAGAGCTAAGTGAAGTGATAGGAACTACTAAAAAAGGAAAATTATTCAACAAAAACTGACCGACAGAATTTAACTGGTCCTGGCAACAACACAAACATGAGAATGGTCACTTATTATTTAGGGATCAATTAGTATAAGCATGAAAGTTCTACATATTAGTGTTGATTTTTACGACTGTAACACTTGGTGAAATCGACTTCTATACAATGTAATCAATAGCATCTTCATTCTCTGCATGATTTTAGAGCGGGAAAACACATCTGAACCAATGATAATAATACTTTTGATGAAAGTACAAAGAAAGCATATACTTCATGATGAAGGCTACATACAATGGCTTTTCCTAGTGAATAGTTTACGGAGTTAGTGTTGTCTTTCATTGAGATCATGAACTGATATAAGTTAGACCATCATTTATATCTGGAAGCATTAGACTCTTCAGCAGTGTACATCCATGATCCCGCAAGCAGAAAATCGAACTCAAGAACTCCGGTCTGGCGTGAGGACACTTAATCTCTAGACCACTGTGCCAGCACCAAACGGTGTTCATGGTTCAAATGAAAGACAACCATCCCCGCAATTCCTATACTAAAAATTACCATGCGCTCATAAGAGACTAGCTTCGAGAGGAAATTTCCAGAGCTCTAGCGAGATGTGACTACTGGAGCTAAGCCATGTCGATTGTGAAACAGTTATTAACCGAAGACAGTGGAGGATGGTCATGCAATGCCGTGGATTGATTGAAGTCAGACATTAGCACGGCTAAATGTCAACCTAGCGATCTGGAAGTTAAGCGTTCGTGCGCGAAACTGGAAATCCTGGATTCGATTCCCTCATGCGTAGTCATGGATGTGCACTGCTGAGGAGTCATAGACTAGGATTAAACAGCCGTCCAGTGCATCTTGGTTTTCAATGGTAGTTTAACCTGTATCAGTTCATGATCTCAGTGAAAGTCAACAAACTTCACAACCCCATTACTGACAGCTAGTATTGTATTTATGAAGGTAAATGAACTATCTCTCAGAATACCGCAGATTCAAAGTTAACTTCATCTTAGACGACCTAATAATAACTTCCGCGTTTTCAACTTTACTAATTTTACTAGATCTTTGAGAAATAAGATGATAACACTCTACGGTTGATTAACAAATGTCCATTCTGTAAGTTGTAATAGACGTCCTAAATGAAGACAAAGATAAGTTAGTGTTACGAAACCTGGATTTAACCTATGGACAAGTTGTTGAAAAGTACGTAAAATGACTAGTCTTATAAACTGCATAACTTATTCCTAACAAAGCTGGCTTATTCATAAGATGCGTAACTGTGTATTCTTATGGTTAATCAAGTGTAATTGTAATTACATAACGAACATTATACAAGTTTATTCGTAAATGATTTCAAAACATAGATGGATGGTCGGAAGTAGATAGTATGCATAAACAGGGCGGATTAATTATTCACCTAAAAAGATCATAATTATGAGATAATACATATTACGCACATGCATAATTCGGATAACTTACTTTGCCAGCGTTTAATTCAGTTAAATAACTCCAGATATCATCACCAAGTTTCATAGCTATTGCAACTAGACAAAACACACTGGCCTTACGAATGGCACTCTCTTCATGATTACAAGCCTTTAATAATAATAATAATAATAATAATGTTGATAATAATTAATGTGCACAAGTATGAATGGGCTATATTTTGTCGCAAATATACACAACAGCATGCACAAATGTTCAGGTCAAAAGTCACGCAGAGTTACATATAACTAACCACCCCAAAAGAGCAGGAAATAGTCGAAGAAAAAACTGAAAGAGTTCAGTTTGGGGTAAATTCTTTTGGAGAGCGAGAAGGTGGGTAGGCGGATTGTAGTCAAATATTACAAACATGATTAGGGACGAACTGATTAAACTAGGTGCGGGGGACATTTTTTATTGACTTAAAAAGTATGAAGTGATATTGAAATATTTCCACGACTAGTAGTACCGTGGCGAGACAATAATTTATGGACGAACCGATCAGGGATAAGATAACAGGTCTCAGGATTCGGCGCGAAATTCACTCATCCAGTTGGCTGAATAGAGTTTGGGTATTATAGCTGATGTCATTTCTTGATGAAAACCCTAAATCTAATTCCTAACTTTAACAATCATCTGTAAATTATAATTACAATTCCTCACACAGGATTATAATCCTCATTTGGTCCTAGTTATTAGGTGGACATTCTTGAGATCAGTCTAGCGTCGCTTAATGGTCGTCCATAAATTATAGTTTAATCAGTATTGCTTGTTGACTGGCAATATAAACAAAACTCATTTATTACATTGTTTGATCATGTATGGATGAATTTGTAAAAAAATTGTATGTATTTTAAAGAACATTGGTGGAATATGAGCACTATGAATGAAGTTGTATTTTAGTAGTTAATGAGGGTTTGAACACAGGTTCATCGGTTTCGAGTAGTGGTATTACTAGTCTTCATGTTTGAAGTGTGGTAGTTGAGTGCCAAACCTATTAATACATACCTGTTAAATAAGTGACGTAAAAAATATCACTCATCAGGGAAATGTAACACAATTCAAAAGTTCCGATAAAAGATGGAAAAACATTGACATCTGGGAAAAGGACTCCTGTCAAATAGGTTGGAAAGACGGTTGGTTTATCAAGAGAAAAGCTCATTTTTGCAAAGCAGAATTACCATGGTGCAGATGCACAACAATGATTAGGAAATGAATGGGAATCGGCTTCTCGAATCATTACGCCAGTCAAAGTAGAACACATTGTCTCGCCGTCTAAAATCCCGCTTCGACGCTCGCCTTGTGATATGATGGAGTCTTCTATTGACAGCATATTATCCTCACGGTCATACCACAATGGGTATCGTATATATATATATAAGCATTTTATAGACCTTTCATCACGGCAAGTACTTACTACACGGATACATATAATACACAAGTCAAAGACCGATGTACTCCATTGTATACACAAGAACATAGATGCAGCTTCTCTCGTTATCTCCCCAGAATGAACTCTTAACAACCTGTAGTATTAAATTACGCAGTGCGTTTTGGCCAATCCAATTTATGACAGAATGGTAGGTTAGTTCAATCTCCATTGACTACTCACATCGGTCTTTATAGGACAAGTCATGATAGCAAACAGAATTATAGTCAAATGATGAAATGCGGTCAATTCAGAAGATAATGAAGTAACACACGTGAAAGCATAAACTTACAATTACAAGTCCAGGAATTAATGCATTAATAAATTCATGTACTAATTCCGGCGAAGAATTTTGTATAACTTGCATTTGCATTTTAATTGCTGGTAAATTAATGTGTAGTTGTGAATCATTTATTAACGGTGTCAATACATTGAGACATAATTCTTGTGGAAGATTTTGTGCTACTGTATTGGCGCAATCTTCTGCAGCTCGAATAACCTAGTTTGATTGAAGGAAAGGAAGAAATAATAGTAATACAAAAATGATGAACATAGTAACATTATTTACTTAACTTACGAAGATTTTAAACAGTTTGTTTTCATTTCGAAAAAAAACTGTCATCCACAAATTGCTTATAACTGTATTCTGGTTTAGTTTATTGACATACTGAGCAAAAAAACATAAAACTTAAATTTATGGTTACTAAATTGAGGAGAACTACAATCAGTGGGATTTAAAGCAGTCACCTAGGATGTGCTAGCGATCAAATATTTGAAATGAAGTCGGACTGAGTGCATCGTTGGGTGATAACATTAGGTACTCGGATCGTTAACAAAGGGAGAATGGACTCTCTCTACACTCGGCTGTACCAGGGCATCTGGAGGGGAATTTACGAACGAAACACTATTAGTTTGAAAGTAAACACTAAAATTATCTACGAAGATGAATATAGAATAAATGGCATTTGTAGAGTAGTGATTATGAGACTAGAGGGTAAGAATCCTCAGCGTAATATATATATATATATATATATATATATAAACAAGTACGGTTGAAAGTCTAACACATAGACTCTACTAAGTTGCAAAGAATTAACGTTGATTAATTTTTTCGAATGACTCTTAGCAAAAGAAAAAGCAGATGACAGACAATAAGTGAACAATAATAATAATAATATTTTGTCCATGAAATGTAATGATCTAGACATTCAAAAGTGAGTGAATACACGTAATTAAAAATAGAACTTACAGATTTTTCACTATCTCGACAGGCTTCAAGTACTTTAATAACAAATAAATAAGCGAAATCATGAAATAATTCCGGTTTAGCTCGTACTAATTCTTGAAGTACACGAAGTGCAAGTGCTCTTGTTTCATGCTAGTAGAAAGTAAGTGGGGAAAAAAAACAAGCAACATATATTTTAAGAAATAAAAACTTGATTGAAAGTGAAGAAATTTCTCAAAAGATAAAAAAAATTCTGCAGCCAAATGTCAATAGTTTCATTTATATTACGTTTTTTCAGGTAAATGGTTTATAATTGTGAATTTTTTGTTGTAGTTTTGGGAGAAATAACATCAGTTCCTATTATAAAAAGCAAAAGAAGGGAGCTTTCTGATTATTTTACAAGCATCAAACCAGTTCATTCTGATGACGTCCAACTGTTTGTTTTCTGAAGTTTTCTTATATTCACGTGTTCTGTTAACTGTTATGTTCGGGAATACAGGTGAATCTGGATGAGATAAAGCCAGTTGAACAGAAATTCATCAGAGTGGACCGGTTTTCAATGCATATGGAATAATCAGAAAGCTCTCTTTTTCTATTTGAAGTAGGCGGCTGATGATGTTATACAGAGCGATGAAATCTTTGGAATCAAACCTTAAACGTCAGAGAATACGCTACTAACCAGAACAATTATTTGTGATACTACCACAATCAAAACAAAGCATCATCTCCTTGAGGATTGCAAATTAAAAAGATATGTATTCTGATCAATAATTTTTGACACATAATGAAAGATACACAAAGAAATCGATATTGTTGTTTTATCATTCACATGAAACTCTCTGGTTAGCAGTGAATTATTTGGAAAGGTATAGCGGGAACCGATCTAATTTGCAGACTGTATAAATCACACGTTGACATCAGTTGGGATAACTCTAAAAACAAGGGGCGTTGGACAGCTATACCATCACGGTGTGAAAGTGTGCCCCCACAACTTTGACGTTCCAGCAGTTCTAATGATTAAGTGTTCACAGAGCGACATGTAGAACATTAAATTCGACCCCTGCATGGTCGTAGGTATGCATTGTTGAGAATTCTTACATAGGGACGAAATTAATATTCAATACTTCGCTTTTCGATAGCACCCTACGTGAAACTAATCTATGAGTACGATCTAATAACATGGAACTAGACTGCAAAACATTCTACTTTTGTATCATCATATTAGACCAGTAGCCATATATAAGGTCCTAAAGATAGCATAATCAGTTACAAGAAGTGTTTAAATCAAGGTGACACTATATGAAAATTCGGTTTAGCTACATCTTTTAATACTAATCATATTCAACAATTCGTCATTTTAAAGTCGAAAAATCTGTTAACTATGACCTTTACAGCACACCATGGTTAAAATTATTTATAGTTGCTAAGATACAGAAATATTTTTCAAGACATTCACAATAACATATGCATTGATTAGTAATGGTGTTTGCCAGTCAATATATATAAATATAACATGCAAGATTTATGGTCGAATTCATTACAGAAAACAATAACCACAACAAAATAAATAATCAAGTGTCCGAATTCTGTTGTAGTGTGGAAATCAAGTATGTTAAAATAGTAATTTACATGGAGGTTAACCGTTTACTAACAGTTAACTTTTATACACATATAGTTCCTTTTTTTAATTTGGAAAGAAAACAATTAGAGAAGAATAAGATGAATTTACTTCTGTTGGGATAGTCGGAAAAATATACCAATAATTATCGTGTTAAGTCTATGGTGGCCTTGGACATTAAATGTACATTTCCTATTGGTCGAAGTTTATTTCACCTATTAAATATTGTGTAAATGTTGTTCTCTATTTTATGGTACGATGTGGTTTGTTTGTTTGGTATATAAATAGAGTATGTCTGAAATACAATGATTCATAACTCAGAGGCTGTGACTTGTGTCTCTTGACTCAACTGGCTGGGACAGACAGCGAAGCAGGGCCAATCAGGGCACTAGGTCGTCCGTACGTGTTTACGTGTCTACTTTCACAGGAGCGATCGATAAATACGCTGCTTATCAAGAACCTGCAGTCTCATCCGTTACAACAACTTCATTAGGTGCCCACCAATTATTTATTACCTGAGATAAAGCTTAACATTTATTATTATGATCAGAAAGTGTTTGGATGATCCCATTGTTGATAATCTTGTTTGAATTAGTCTTTATTGTTAGATATGTGTCTTGTGCAGTTTGCCATGATATATTGTCATTTTGTTACACAGTTTTTAGGCAGAACGGATCGATTATCGCTAGAGGTGGAACAATAACACTGAGATGAAGGTACGTACCTTCAGTTGATGAATTCTAAATAAAATGAAAGGCGTTTTTTATATTTCAGTGCTAGTCCTAAGCCATCTATTATATATAGAACTTAATACACTTATAAGATTAGTGTTCATTACATTCTTAGTGTGAAAATATATCAGCAAAGTTGATAATAATAAGTTTATAATAATCCCAATGTATAAGCATTAGAAATTCCGACGTTTGACGACTTAAGTCTCTTCTTCAGAGTAAATTAATAATTGAATCCGGTTTGCACCACCAAACGTTTATGTAGTGTTTGGGTTGATGGATGTGCACAAATAACTACAAGTTGAAGTGATAGAATGAAATGAACTTTGAAAATATATACTCTGTTGACTAGAGTTCGAGCTCATGAATGGTTTTTGTGTTTTGCAGTAATTTTGATCACCCACAAGTAATATTAAGATGATTTATTTATATAAAATCACACCAAATAGTATTTAACACATGTGAAATATATCATCACCGAAAAATATACCATATTCAAACGAACTGTAAAAAAAAATTTGTCTACAAGGTGAAAATTTAACTCACTCCATCATCACCTAATGTCTCTAGGAGAATTAACAAAGTTGGCTTGAAATATTCATCCCAATTACTGATAACACCATCACGTAATAATTTGATAAGTTTTAACATACATGTCTTTCTTTGTTCATAGCTTGAATTAATATGAGACAGATAGAATGAAAATAAGAAAAAAAATTTGCAATGAAGAACCAGTGTAGAAAAAACTTCGAAAACAAACTAAAAAGTAGAGAACACCGTTGAAAAAAGACAGTTGAACAAAATACAAACACAAATAAAACTGTTGTTAGTGAAAAGCTTAGCAGGACGTACATAAAATTGTGAAATAGGCTTAAGCCTATATACATTTGTGACAGTTTGGCAGTATCCGATCTATATCATAGCGATTGATTAAGCTGTGGAGTGTATTCCCATAATTTGTCAGTTTCAGAAATAGACTCATTAAACTATTCGAAGTACGAATTATGGGACAGAGTAATTATACTTTAGTAGAGAGATGTGTATATATAATTTAGGGGTGATTTTCTTCACAAACCTTTATCATGTCAAGTGGTATTAAACACTAAAGAGTACTGAGTCGGCAGTTTAAACGCTGTTCGAAACTCATTTATAAAGGAATGGGTTTTATGCTAAGTGAGACGTTAGTTCATCGGTGACATTATTTAATGACGAGCATATATTAAGGGTTAAAATAGTGGGTTGTTGGATTACTTAAGTTCTGGGAAATATTTTAAGAAATTATTTAGCTTTTCTCTCCTCAAATTAGACAAATGAATGCTTCTACATACATAATGGATGATATTATAAGCCAATTACATGATCCAACTGTTTAGAAATCAACAAGATCGTTTGAAAGACATTTGAGTGTTTATACATTAGTTTTTCAAATCGACGCCATTTAAAAATGCAAAGATTGAAAAAATCTTAATCAACTACCATTACTTCTACTAATCTATGAATGTACTGAAAACAACAGCTAAGTGAATTTTATTTAATTAAACACATAAACAGTGGTACAAGGAAGCCCCAAATACATATGTGCCACACTTTATCATCCCATTTGTGTGAGGGCTGAAATACTACCCGTGTGCCCAAACCGAAGGAATATTTATTTCTTATAACTTTAACTTTTAATAAAATACAAAAATGGAAATAATGTGAAAAAGACTTCCGCTGAATATGTAAGCTGTTAATATGAATGACTTGACAAGTGTTATTGATTGTTCTTCGTATGTATTTATTTCAATCATGTTAACATGTATGTCTTTCATAGTAGTTCCAGAAGTGAACTGTATTGTTTAGTTATTAATTTCTATTAGCAAGTTTAGTTATTAGAGTTTGAGGTTTAGAAGTATACTTTGACATACATAATATCACTTCAATATATGTTTAGGATACCCTGATTGCCATCTGCATATTCACAATGCTACAAATAACAATAATATATTGTTCAAATGGAGATATTTTTAGCACTGATATTCGATTTGATGCTTATTTGTTATATTGGGAGCAACAACAACAGTATATGTAAACAATTTTTAAAAATCCAGTTAAAAACTTTGTTTGCGTATAGTGTACATGATGAAATGGACAAAAGTATAGTTTTCCACTGGCTATTTGATGAGCTTTATTCATACTGTCATACAATTTTTTTTATTGCAGAACAAGTTTGAAACGAATAAACTTATTGCCGGGCATATATATATATATATATATATTCGGCTTCGAGTCATGTTTATTCGGGTTTGAGAGCTAATATTACTACCTACATTGAATTAGAGCGAGTGATGTAGCCACTACTCCATAGAGAAATCGTTTGAGTTATTAGACTGGAACTATTTGTAAATAAGTTTTATTTTCTACTAGTTGGTCAGTGCTATCATGGATCTTAATAAGTCTGTCGACTTCAGATTTGAAGCAATAAGAATAATGAGATTGAATGCAGGGTATCAAGGAAATTACCAAGTTGTTTGTAGATCTTGGTTGGAACACATATTACATATACTCCAACCACTTCCTACCTCGACAGGTAATGATAACTGGTGAAGTTAAAAGAAAGCTAGGAGAGGCCAAAGGAAAATGTAGTATCAAACCATGAAGTTGCTGACTGTTGTTCTGAACCAGGTTGTTAGGTGCAGACTACTTGGTTGTGGTCCACACAATTAACAGATTTAAACGTTGGATGATATTGATCATAATGGCGAAATGCAATTACTTTTTATCTTCCTCTAGATCATGAGTTTAAATTAATTGCTGAAATAAAATACATGAAGTAATTTTCGTTCTTCTACAATTATTTCTTATATGTCTAATTATTTTTACTATAATTTAAAATAATAATAGTTCTACTACTCTGAGATCGTCTTGAAGATTTTATTTTGATATGTGCATATGGTATGGTAACTTCACATAATGCACATATGTACCCATTTCTACATTGCATATGGAACGACATTCTAACTAACCGAATGCTTATATAACTAGTGTGGTTTGAAAAGGACTATTCAGGACTCGTGTTTGATATCCTAAACAAACTACGGGAATGAATAAACTGATCCATATACCAGGAGGGTGTGAATGTAAAAAAATACACGAATTATAAAGTAGTTTAAAAAATAACAGAGAAAGGGGACAAGATTCAAGAAAAAGCAAACGTTGGAAGATATTTTCCTCGCTTACATAACCTCATCAAAGTATGGAAAATAATTTGATAGTCAAGGAGAGCTCTTCGAATAATATACGGAATAACAAAGAATTATTACTACTTCAGCAAACATGATGGGAAATCAAAAACAAGAAAGACTTGTGCAGAACCGAGTATGCAGCATCAAAACATGAATTAAATGACTGGTTGGTTTTAGTTGTGTATGAAAATATGGGCTTCTCATATAGGAAAATTCAGGATCAATCATTATCGACTGTCAAAGTATTTGTACTGTTACATATGCCTAACTATCGCTTAACTCGACGACATATATCTACTGTTGGAGTAAGTTGGAAGAAAGTTAAAAGGCGTAGCACCAAAGCAAAATGTGCCATCAGTCCATGAAGTCACTTGACTGTAGGTTTAAGTCATGCAGGTAGGTGGATGGAAATTGTTGGCGAAGGACCACGATCGGTGATTGGAAGCTTCGAGTGAAATAGCTCGGAATAGTTCATAATAAAGGCATCCACTTCTTTTTTTCCCGATCTTGAATTCCAGTATTTTTTGATATACACTTTCCCAACCTATCTTTTAAAATCATATTCCCGGGATTTGGTCTGTCTTTTTATCACTATTACTACGTTACTTCGATCACTTTTGCTACTTTTATCTCGTCGTGTTAATCAGGTATGGCAATTCAGATCAACGCATATCTATGCCGGGCTCTTTGTTGATTTTTCAATTCACATTTGTACAGTTCACGAAATAATTAGTTGTATTTGAGAAAAAAAGAACAAGTCAATATTGACTACTTTAGTGTCTGTTTTAAAGAGGAATAACAGTATTGATTTAGAGTCTATTTAATGTCATCAATATCTATTTCCAAAGTTATTTTTATTTTATTATTAATTATTTATGACTATTTTTCTCTTGGCACATAGATCCCAGATGAATGATTCTTTCTAATTTCATTAATTTATGTATTCCATCAGAAGAGTAGGTTGGTAACTAAAATACAGATTTAACACATTGATCTTCACCAGATTGATGTGAATGGCCAATCAGCAAAATAAACAGGTACACAGGGTTTGCTAAATCTATGAGACAGTATTTACGACTGTGAATTCCTTTCTACTGTTGATTTCTACTCTGAGTTTCATTGTGTGTAGACTTCTGGTATTTTGTGTTGAATCGTGTATCTTAAGTATAACGTGATCGAGTCTAATAATTTTATGTATAGTGATTAATGTTACTAGTTGAAAATAAGTTTTGAATCCGAACACTCAATGATTGTATGCAATACTTACTAAGTACCTTACTTCGAAACCGTACAAAAGGAAGATTGATAGTAACAGTAACGAGAATAAAACTTAAATATTAACAGTAAAAATATTATAAAGTTTGCGAACTAATTAGTCAATACGTATCAGAAAAATTGAAAAGTGCATAACAAATGAAACTTTGTCATTTTGTTCAAAAGCAAAACACAGACAATTTCCGTTAATGTGAAAAGAAAAATGCAAAGTCTACACTATGGGAATATTGAGAAAACTTTATAAAAACGGTTGTTGAAAATTTGTTGAAGTAGTAAGCAATGATGATTGTATAGACATAGAAAGCACTAAAACTATAAACAAGAATGAAATGTTTAGACAGTAGGTTACATCGATCAACCATTCAGCCACTGAGACATATATACTTACATTATAAAAACGGGTAAATCTAGGTGTCAAGATATTGAAATGAATGACAGTTAACCCACTACAATATAGAGTAACTCAACTAACCAAGTATGCTAACAAGTATGTTTCAAGAACCTAATCTCGAGTACACAGCTTCTATCGGTAACGGACTGAGTTATTCTGCCACTGCCACTAACTCTTAGAGAAGTACATTTCGGACAAAATGGACTAGGATTTTCTGGTAATCTTCTGAGAACTATGTTGCATTTAGACATTTTAACCTAGCCGTTAAAGTCAAGTAAAATTTTATTTTACATCAAACCTCAGCGAAATGATTGCCACAAATCGATATTAAGGATTGTGAAGAAACTGTGTGACATATAATTTTGTTAGCAGTCCTTATTAAAAGTGAGAGTGTTATGAATAATTTACTTTAAAAAAAAACGAAAATAAACAAAATTAAACAACCCCAATATTCAATACATTTTCTAGGCAAATTAAAAACAAATATTGATAGTAATGAAACAAAAAGTGTTCATAAACATAAAAAAAAATAAAAAATAAAAGGAGGCGGGAGCGTGAGAAATTAAAGAGAATGGTGACACCAGCACTCACGTGACATTATCTCTAGATGGGAATTGATTTTATTAATTCATTGAATAAATGTTACAAAACATTCACAGAAACACACAATAATGATGATAATCTATTGTTTATCATTTACTTTATAGGAAAAATTAACGGGAAAAAGTTATGCAAACCTATGAGTGCATGTGGACAAGTATGTATTGAATCGAAATAATTTATGATGAAATAATGAAATTAACAGTAACCGCTTACTCAACGATGTATACAAATGCAAATAAAAATTCCAAAAAAAAAACAACGAACAATCGTAGTATACTTTACTGTACTGATCATAGTAAATTGGTTGAAGCAAATTAGGCTATGATAAATCACCTCTTTAACATGTATATATGTATATAATACACAAGTATGTAAAAGTGTCTATGTTTATAATCATTATTAATAGTGGTTTACGATCCGATTGGTGATGAGAAGTATTATTAGAAATGTTCACTAATTAAATGATAGAAATTGGAAAATCATGTGTATGTTTGTTATAAATAGAAAATTCTACGAAAAAAGAGTTTTATCTAATGTTTTTTTCTTTTCAATTCTTCCAAATTATACAATTGAACAATAAACCTATAGTTTGAAGCATATGATATTTGTTAGGGATGCAGAGGAATATACTAATCATTATCATGTTAAGTCTAATGATGTCCTTGGACTTTAAATGAACATTCCCTATTGGCCATTATTTATTTCACTCGTTAAACATTGCTTTCTATTTTTATGGTACGATGTGATCTGTTTGGTTGGTATATAAACAGAGTATGTTTGAAATATAACGATTCATATCTTAGAGGTTAAGACTTGCGTTCTGGACTCAACTGGCTGGGCTAGATAGCGGAGCAGGACCAATCGGGACTCTAGGTTGTTCATTTCACGTGTCACTGAATCGATAAATAAAACGCTGCGCATCTAACCTGCAATCCACCCGTTACAACACATTATTGTAAAAAAAAATGGTATTTCATTTACGAAATTTAAGCTTACGAGAGAAATTGGCACTAAAGAGAATAAGTTTCTTAATTACATGATTTTTTTTTATAAAAAAACTATTGAGGAGATGGGGAAAAAGTTTATATGGAATTTGTTCTCATTTGCTGAACACGTATTTATAATTGAATCGAAGAAACCTTGTAGTATGAGATTGTTTAGGTTTCCTAAAGTGGAACCTTCCTTGACAGAGATATAAATTCCAGCATAGAATGTAAGATTGTATGATGGTTGCAAGTGAAATTACTAAATGTTTTGGGGAAGAAACAACTTTTCAGTCACACAAATACTACTAGTCAGAGAAATAAGTTAGAAGCAATAAATTTGTTTTACTAATCACAAAATAAAATGAATGGTTTCTGTTAATATATACTGAATGGAGTATAGATTGGGAAGCACTACATAGAACTTTTTCTCTACTGAATCTCAAACATAATTATTGGAAAAAAACAAATATGCAAATATATGAAATCAATACTGTTTTTTTTTAGAAAATCAAAGACGACGAAGAAAAGGGGGCGTAACGAGAAATCAATTAGGTAATCAGAAGAGAGAAAAACTATTCAAAGCAAATTAATTGACAAACATAAAGATAACATTCTGATTTTTTCTCAATTAAAGGGAAAGGAAATCAATCTGTCACTTTTTGTACTTAATGTAAACAATAACCAATTTAGGATAAAACGACAAAGAAGACAATTAACGATGCCATTTATGTGTAAAAGAGAGAAAATGAGAATAAGTAAACTAGCCCATAAAAGACGTTAAACACTAATTAGAAAAAGGGAGAAATATCATGTGATCTGTTGTTTACAATCGACTATTATCACACAATAGTTGTAGCTTGCTAATTAACACTGATTCATAAAACAAAAAGAATAATCTAAATGGCTGTATTCAAACACTTGAAGAAGATAAATATAAACTGAGAAAATTATATAAATGATAAATTCTTTAAGTAACCAATTAACTAGTTTTGGTATACTCATGTACTAAAAGAAGAGAAACCCGAATAGGTAAATCACTTTTTGAATGCGAAAATATACAAATGATGAGATTTAAAGATTTTAAAAGAAAAAAAATAAAAACGGTAAAAAATAAATATGGGAAATAGTTGAAGACGTTAACTAATCGTTAACTTGTATACCAGATACGGATTTGTTTAATAGGTCCAAAGACATTGTGAATCTAGGAGTTAGTGAGTGACACTATCCTCACAAGGTTATGTGAAATAGTATAGACACCCTCATTTTTGTCTACATTAACTAACCTAAGAGTAAAGCAATGTTTTCAGATGTCGTGGCTTTTCTCTCGTGTTCAAGTTGTCGTGTAGATTTAGCCTGGGGATATTAGAAGAGATTAGGAAACCAATTCAAGCGTTCAGTTAGAACACTCATCAATAGCGATGAAAAAATCTACTGTGGAAGTTTCTTTCGAACAATCAGAAGTCTACATGCAGTGTTTCAGTCTCAAATAAGAATCATGGAAGCCCTTTAGAGTCAATTTGTGGATGCTATGTTACAGGGTATTCCAGGAACAGTAGCTCATATGTATGACATCATAATCATGGAAGAAAACATAATGGATATACAAAGAAGACCTGATCAGGCTATCACGCATAGGCCAATATGGTCTTATATGCACCAGGTACAATAACTCGGTTTCATAATAGATCGAGATAGACAACGACCAGATTCAGAGAATATGGATGTTGCCCAGAACAACGGATATCTTTCTTAGGAACAATTAGTCATTACGGATATTTTCTTTCTGAACTCTATCACCTACATGCTCCACTGTACTTTAGGGGCCCATGGTTCTCGACTCCATTTTAGAGCGTACGAATGTTTGTTATCGCTGATTCTCGTGTATCGTCGTCGACTTAAATCGCGTTATCCAATAACGGAATTAAATAAGTCGAATAACGAGAATTGACTTGAGAATACATATATTTCGTATATGAAACAGAGCAGAGCACAATGATACGTAGGGAGGATGGCTGCGAAGCCAACTCCATTTTAGTCAAGCGTTACTCAATATTTATAGTCAGACAAAATAAAGCTACAGACATGTGATTAATGGAATAAGAAGGGCACACACATATACGCTCATATAAAAACAGTCAAGACTGATAAGCAAATAATTGACAAGGTCAAAATATGGCTCGAGTAGAATGAATAAAATGGGATGTCCGGAAGCTCGAATAAGGTATATGGGCTTGGCATAATAACTGACACTACAGTACTACCTACTGGTAAAAAGGCGAAATGGAGTTGGTCCACAGCTTGCTCAGTGCATTAGGAAGGATAAAGATTGTGACAACGCAATTATTAAATTGATATGTATCAAAGCTTACTCAGTGGTTGTACACTGTCAGTTGCAACAAACAATTATCGGGTACATTTTTGAAAATAAAACGTATTGCCTAATACTCGACTAATATCTGTTAGCAGAATATGAAATCTTTAAAAAAAAAACTAGGAAAACCAATGAAACAAGTAAATGTTAGTAGTTAACAACAACTCAGAACTGAAGGAAATTCACTAGATGGTAAGTCAGTTTCACGCTCGATGAACACATGGACAGGCACAATCAATATAAGAGGACAGTCAAGAAAAAGAGAAGAAAGCTAGTTTTGAAAATGGAAAGAAAAAATATTATCCCAAACAAAATTATGCAGGGCATGAGTAAAGGATAAATTTCCTTACCATAATGTCTATCAACAAATCAAGACAGAAAACTGATCAAATAAAAAGCGAAAAACAGTTAAAATATGGTTAGTTAAATTGCAATTGTATTGAGAAGTACTCAATTTGATATTGGGCCAGTTGAAGATAGTCAATACATAGCTATCAAAATTGGTTGCATTATCGTCACAGTATAGTGCATCTTAAACAGAATGGATGTGTTCATGATAAGTTTCGAGAAAAACAACACTAATACACAAATCAAAATCACAAACAACATATTTAAAAAAACATATTTGTGGACTGAAAAGGAGAGGAAAAATCTACAAGAAAATCTTAATCTATCTTACCGTTCATTGTGATTCGATAATTCCTGGAGTATTTCAGACATGATATCTTCTGGGGGCATTTCTAAACAACAACAAAGAAAAAGATTGGAAACTACAAATTAATATGCAAACTGTATGCTTATAAAAGAATTGGACATTGACATAAACACTGATAAGCCACATGCTTATATAACAGATAATACATGCTTCAACACAGAAATGATTTTATTGTGTGATTATCACATAATTAACATCATCAAATTGTAGGATCCGTGAATACCGGACAAACATAAACAAACAATTAAAGGAGAGACAATCTAATGAAGAAAAAAGTATGTGCTATAATTTATGCATAAATAAATAATAACAAATACACAGCATGATTGCATAAACCATACAAAGAAATCACCATAAAATTGTTAATAAATAATAATTATTATTATGGTGGAAAGCAATAATATTTACAGAGATAATTAATTCTAAGTAGCCGTAGAGAGAAAAAATGTGCAAGATAGGAGAGTTTAAAAACTAAGTAAATAAACAAACACGATAGCATACATTGAACAATCCATTCTTACAGTTTTAACAACAACAATAACAACAAACACAAATATCAATACACTCATTACAGAGCTAGCTAACACACATGTAACAATATGTAAGTGCTTTCACTTATACTAGTGATAAACAAATAAATATAATGAAAATGTTTTGTTTTGCTCTTATTTTCCTTTTCCAGTGAACAGAACAAAAGCTTACCGCGTATTTTTTTTAACGTCTGATAACCAATTACAGGTTTTTTTAATTTTGGTCCTATTCATTGTAAAATATGTATTATGATGATAATGATAATAGTGAATGAAAAATAATTTCATTCATTATGGAGAAATATGACAACAAATTAAATTAAGTATATCGGTATGTACACAAAATGAAAAAAGTTATATATATATATATATATATATATATATATATATATATATATATACACTTTCAACACAGCAAACTGGGATTTGCATATTGTTAGTTTCAGCTATCCGTATTGGTAAGTTGAAACTGCCTTAACTGGTTAGAATTCACATGATTGATATGAAATTATACGAGACAACTCAGAATGGGTTGTAATGAAGTAGATACATTTAGTTTTTATCTCCCTCCACGGCCTATATACTGAAACTGAAAATGATTTTACACTTTTTATTCCTCAAGGTAAATTTTTCTTCTCGAGTCATATTCATGATAACAAAATATTTTTATTACCATCGATACTACCATTACTGTAAAACAAGACAATAAGCAGAAGGAATCTATACTTATTTTAAGCTATAAAGCGTTCATATAGTACATATATATAGCCTTCAACCATCTATTCGTATGTTTCGATGTGTTCTGCAATTTGAACTTTTTTCGGTTAGTCTCCAAGTGTTCTGTCTACGCAGTAGTTTCGCTTTACTGAAACTCTCCACTTCGAGGTCACATTACGCAATATATTACTTACAAACAACCTCGTGAGTAACATCCAATACACTACTAATGTGATATTTATATAGTTGTTTTTCTCTTTTTTATTTATTTAAACACATAAACATTAGTACAAGGAGACATCAAATACATATGCGCCACACAAATCATTCGATCTGTGTAAGGGCTGGGATACTGTCCGAAAGTGGCAGCTAGGATCAATGTATAGAAGTATTAGATTGTAACTAACCGACTAGTTCAAGTTGGAATTAGTTGAGATAAAGTGTAGTGTTCTATGTGGACACAAAAATCGATCAGTAGAGTTGTAGTCTGAACGAACTAAACATTAAACAGGTTAAGTAATTTAAATGTAAGCTTCCAAAACAGATATATATTTAGTTAAATAAAAATATGATAGTAAGGTATAGAACTTTTTTGATTATTTGTTAAGAGAAATGAGAATTGTGAAAATATATTAATTATTGTAACGGTGGTTTTAGGCAAGAAGCAATTATAAAGCAGGATATAGAAAATAGATGCCAATATGCGTTGAAATTATAAAAAAATTAGAGGAAATAAAAGAAATTCCCACAGCAGTTGAGTGATAAAATTATATTTATTAAAGAATTATGGCTTTAATTCAATGTATATCAGATTATACTTAAAGAGGAATCAATATTGAATCGGAGAGCACACAACATATATGTGTAGTGTCTGGTGCTATGTTAGGCTCACAAGGATTATTCTAACTTTCTGAAAAAACAATTAATCCATTCCTCTTTAGTCACATTTTGACCATTATTATTATCCGCTTATTAACCCTGACTGTTTTTATATGTGTCCATTGCCTATCCTATTCATCACATGTCTGTAGCTTATTTTTGTCTGACTATAAAAATTGAGTTACGGTTGATCAAATCGAGTTGGCTCCCTCGTCTTCGCTGTCCTGATTCTGATTGTCCGTCTGAATAAACGAGTGTTTGAAGTAAAAATTCTCCAACGCAATCCGTATTCGTCTTTATATTACCCCCATCACACAAGCGGGGTTAGCGTTAGAGTTAATGAAACATTTATGTTTATAGTACCTTCGTACGATCAAACAGGAGTCAGATACTGGGCTACACATGTAAGATGACACATTGATTTTATCATTAACTTTCGTATAGAATAATTAACATGACTGATTTTTTCTTTCTAGTCTTTGACATAGTCAAAGTTTATTTTAATAAATTAGAAACCTATTTCCTCTTAAATTAACAACACAGAAAAATAATATTAAGTATATACATAGATGAACAAGTGAAAGGAAAGAGAAGAATAAAGCAAATTGACTTCACTTACCATCACCAGGATCATAATTGATAAGTGTATTTAAAAGAGCCTGGAAAATGATCAAAAAACAAACATTGTACATAATAAATGAAAGGCGATTTTGATTTAAATTCATTGAGTTTAGTGTTGATAAGAGTATGAGTGATAAGTGAACACAACCCAGCAAGAAATCAATTTGTTATCTAGTCAAGTACAGAAAACTACGAAGCGGAGCATATCTGTATATTTAGAGTATCTACATCAATATTATAAAGAGATGAATAGAGAAGAAAAGAAGGAATGAACAACATAAGACTTATGAATGACTTAATGGAGAAATATGATATGTAGTAACTTAATTAAAAGTCAAAATATTAGATAATTGGTCGGTAAGAGTAGATTTGTTGCGCAGCGTAGTCTAAATGATTTTATTAATCAATTCTTCCTGTTTTTGGATGAATTAGTATCAATCAACTCATAACTCGACTTTATTGGAGTTTTAAGGTGTTCAGGAATCTACACAAAACAGCGTTATTTTTTATAATTATGATTATCTAACAACGGTGGCTTAGTGGTTAGGCCATTCGACTTTAGTTGTTACTAAGTCTCACGTCAAGCTCCACCACACCTACTTCATTTCAAGTAACCACGTATCATCATAATGGTATGCTTATATCCAAGTACTCGGATAATGAGAGAATTTTAGAAAAAGATTTAATGTTTAACAGTAACAGATCAGATATAGTTAACCTGAGACTCAATAAAATAAAATAAATAAATGTGCCACTGGGTTGCCACTGATTCATGTATTATCAGAACACTTCCGTTTGGTCGTACCAAAACTAAATCGATACACACTGATGAGTGGTCAAGACTTTCGATCTGTGGTAATTAGTCACAACAACAATTGAGCACATTTTGTCTGAATAAGTTATAACGCAAATGAGAATAAATGCTGTATGATAAGGTACATAGATCCGTGTAGCAGTGTTGATGATGCTGTTCAACCATTAAAGCTTAAATCGGTGTAGTATTTATCAGTTATTGCTGCTAAATGGGAAAAGACAAGTACGTCAATAAATGATTCAAAATTTTATATTTGACAGGGTAAATTATGGTAATTACAATGTGAATCAAAGGCAGTCAATTGAATAAACAGTGCAACTTGTAGTTTCAATAAGCTATACATTTATTCATAAGAAACGTGGATCACTGAAAATCAGACGCTGGATGTAATAATACAGTTTTATAAGTAATCACTTACTTTATTTGTACGTAACCCATATGTAGACTGCAGTGTTGGGTCATTAGAAGCAGTAGTACCTTGTGAGGAAGCATAACATTGATTTACATTAGATGGAATAATATTAGGTGGCTGTAATGATGTTGGTTGTGAATTAAGAAAATTATTTGGTTGAACAGTACGTAATACACCTGTATTACCATTTGTAGCATATGTATAATCGTTAGTTGTAAAGCTGGGATCAGCAGATACTCTGCGTGTTGGACTTGTTATCGCTGACGTTGGAATACCACCCCCACTCGCACCAACTGAAAGTGATTGAAGGCCATCGGTTGTTTCACGAATAATACGATTCATACTTTCAGGGCTTACTCGACCACTGTCACTGCCAGTAGAGTTATGAGAACGCTGTGAAGAATAATATGGTCCAGAGATTGATCCATATCGTCCACTACTTGGTGGTGAAAAAATCATATGATCTTGATCAGCAGATCTATAAAAAGATATGATAAAACTTGAAAGACAATCCTATAGGCAAAGTATACGTATGGATTTATGCATAGTGGTGAAATCTAGAATAGATTAAAAATGAGCACACAATCGCTGAAAGCAGATCATTTAAAACATGCTTAGATTTTATTTTGGTGAAAAAAGGAAAAATAACGAATACACATTTGAATTAATTAACATAAACAAATTAACGTATATTTGTTAGTGTAAATAGAAACACATGTATGTATGTGTATAGATGAAGGTTAAAATTAGTCATATAATCAAAATACTTTTTTCAGTAATGTTCTATGGTAGCATTATTAACACTAATGCAACTATTAAGAGGAAATGATGTCAGCAAATAGATAACACTATTTTGATTAAAATCATTTAAAAAATTGTAATCAATCTAATTGTCAAAGTGGTGTATTAGCTAAGTAAGTTAGCCACTTACAAACTAATACTATTTAAGTAAAGTCTTGGTGGATCTTAGTGTCAAAAACCCAACACCACATAAAAAAGGATGATGATTGTGAGAGAAAAAATGTTGATATATCTGAAGGTTAGTTATTAAAATAAACCAAAAATAAGCCTATAACTGATAGATTGAATCAATCAGGAACAGGTCAAATGAATAGTTTATGTGAAATTGTTTTTTCTTAAGAGAGTAAGCATGTACCATTAGAGGGATAATCGTTAAGATAACAGATACATAAACAACTGGATGCACATACACGTCGATTCAATTAGTCAAAAAATTTCTTACTTATGTGACCACGTGGGGTTGGTGTGTAGAAAGCTTGCATACCAATATTAGACTCAGATAACGCACATAAAAACAGTAACTTATAGTTACTACACTGTACAAAATACCCGAGTGACGTCGATCACGGGCATACTATGTTTTGTTTGGCAGAATACATTAACATAGCAAGAAGGATTCGAACTAACAACAAAAAATAACAATATGTATTAATTTCGGACTCTAATCTATCCAACTTAACACTATCTTCATGTGTAACACATTACACCAGACAGAATAGACGTACAACACATAAGAAATATAAATAAATATATATTTACATGTATGAAGATTACACGTAATTTAATGTGTTGAAATATCCTTGAATATTTTTGTAATATTCACTCAATTTTATAAGTTATCCCCTGATATATTTCTTTCAATTGATTTTTTTATCTACTCAATAAGAATTCCGTGATAAGTCCTATGAGTCTATTCAATCAATTCAGATAATTAAGCAGTTGTATCAAGCTGGCTATAATAGTAACATGCATGAGACGTATCATTCTAAGAATAAATTCATTATCAAAAATACACATTCTCTAACAAGAACACAAGTTAAACAATTCATTAAACGGACAAATGATTTTTTAGGGGATATAGTAACGGTTGTTTATTAATCATTCTGTGTGAAACATACACACAAAATTGACTTCATATGTGTAATAATAATAATAATAATAATGATTATTATTATTATGAACAAGAAGAAGAAGAAATAATTAGCCAGCAAAATATTCTGAAAGAAAGAAAAACAAGCATAATGAAACTGAGATGAAAGTGATTTTGTGTAAGAAATTAGGTTTTTTTTAGTTAATCAATTAGACATGTACAACGTAGGACCAGGTGTATATAAGCAACGGGCCAAGTTGCCATACCTCATTAGCACAACAAGATGAACACCAAATTCATAGAAGTAGTTAATTTAATGGTACTAATATATAAAACAACGATTGCATATAAGGATATGATACAGGGAGAAAGAATTAGTTTGTAGAAAGAAAGGAATAAAGTAATTTAAATCTCACAGTTTAAGGGGAAACAAATAGTATATATACCTACGCAATTGTGATCGATCTGAGTCATGTCACTCAGATTCTCCAACCACTGGTTACGATAGTGTGTTAGTATTACATAAGAAGGTTCATTTGTAAACCATAAACTAGTTAAAATGGATTACTAAGCTAACAACAAGCTCAGATTTCAGTTAGTTATGAAAACCATAACAGCATAGTATCTGGTAGGTATTGATGTTGATTTATTCTATTTTAAATTACAGTACGAGAAACAGGTATTAATAATAACGTGACTTAGTGAAGGGACTGGAGATCTTCTGAATGTAAGTGATGTACGAATAGTTTACAACTCTGAGAATCAGAAAGTTTTCATCTTTTGACAAGGTACTATTTATTAGTTATTGAAATCTTGATCTAGCACTATCTAGACTCTTTCAAACGGTTATCTCCCTGATCAGTGGAATTAAACATTGGACGATAAAAGAAAGCAACGTAGATTTAACTTATGAAAACAACTAAATAGAAGTTTTGTTTAACAAAGATGATAGGCATAAAGTTAATAATGGGTATATTTGTTTGCTGTAGTAAATGAACTAGTAGACGTACGACTTCAGGTTACACATATTGATTTTGTCATTACAAAAGTGGAAATGAGAAACATCTTAATGAAAGTAGCAATAGAATCTATCACTAAAGAATTCACATAGCTCATTTGTTAAGTACAGCTATATGCACTCAATTTTGAGTCACAAGTGAGAGGCTAGTCATATACTATTCGGCTACCATGATTTTAATCTATGACCTACTTGTTAAAAGCTAAGCGTTTTAACATATAAACCACTATGCTTCAATTAATAATGGTGTGTACTTGAGATTATTAGCAGTCAAGATTGGACATTTTGATCCTGAAGAAAACAATGTCCACAGTAACCAGTCTTGTTTAAACAGCGATTGCGAAAACGTTAAAAAGAGCCTACAAGACATACGTCTGATTGAGAAGGATATTGATCTGACAAGAGTGAATTACAACCATTATGATCATATTAAGCAAGCTAGTTGAAAGGTAAATAATCATAAAAATGATGGTATAAAAGATATGTGCCAAAATTTTAGCACTTTATAAATCTAAAATGTAAGGAGTAGTGCGGTGGTGAATAGTTAATCAAAATTATAAGACACGTAAACATGCATACATCAACGATGAAATAAGGTAAGCAATCACAAGATCTCACTAGTAAAACATGTAACGTTATACTACTTATTTAAAAGCAATAAAATGTATGAATAGTACACAAAGTAAACATACACACGAACGAATGCAGAGAAACATGAAATGACATGACATGAATAAAGTAGGTGATTAAGTGCATAAATAAACATTGACGGACCAAACAACAAACAAATGACATAATAATGAAAACAAAACAAAGAAAAAACAATGATACAAACCTAGTCATAGAACTTCGACCTGTTGATGTTACAGGCAGAGAATATTTCCTCAATGATCCTGAACTGAAACAGCCGTATTAGTAGTGATAGTAGTAGGAGTAAAAGAAGTAGAATGAGAATGAAGACAATAAAAGCGATAAGAGAGATAAAATACAAAATACATAAATATATGAGATGTATGAACGAATACAAATGTAATGTAATAATGTATGCTAACAACGCTTACGTAAATAAATACACACACACGGACAAGGGGGGATAATAAACATGCATGAAGTAGCGGATTTTGCTAAATTATACCTTATAGTGATATATATGCACGGTATATATACAGGCAAAAGGAAGGTATTTGAAGGATTTATGAACAACAGACTCAATAAACAAAATGAAAGCCTTCATGAATAAATAAATAACTAATTAATGAATAACTTAGATTCCCAAAAATATATTTTGTCCTAAGATTTATAAACAAATTATTAAGCTTATATAAAGATGAAAACAACATAACATCTATTAATAAATAGCGTTTTACCTATAAATGAACTAAATTACAAAGAGAGAGAATTTCAGTTTAAAGATGGAATGAATGATAATAAAAATGATAACAATTTAGCTTACGATGATTTCCATGAAGGAGAATTGTGATTAGTGTCGGTTAAATTGATTAGACCACCACCTGTAGCAGTCTTTTGATAAGTTTTTAATACTTCATGTGCACGATCTTGTACTCCACGAGGCAGTGATTGTAATAAGTTAGAGAAACTTGTGGAATTCAAATCGAACAATTTGATAACAACACGGGAAGCCATCTAAAGAATACAAGGTAGAAAAATGATAGGATATCACTAATACGAGATGGAGGATGACTAGAGCAAAACAAACTCATGTACCCTCAAGGGACAAAAAACAGATCAGATGTATATCAGTTCGAAAGTGATTCAGGCATAAAAGTAAAGAGATTATTGAAGAACTAAGAAAAACTAGAAGTAAAATGATGGTGGAAATTTGATATTGGGCATCACACCTTGTTTCGATAGTTTTATTACGAAACGTGTTATTTTGATGACAAATGGGCTCTGAATAAGGGATGTCAAAAATACTGTGAATGGCCGATGTCAAACAGTTCCTCAATACAAATCTTGATTTTCACAGGATCGAAAGATACATTCTTTAAGGAAGTGAATAACCAGATTGTGAGAAGTTAAACCCAATGATGACTTCAATATTAGACGAACCCTAATTTCGTACTCAAAAATTCATGTTTAATTAATATCTTCAGTCTTTAGTTTTCATACATGAAAGAAGATAGGTTAACTGATCAATGAACAAATACGAAAGCAAACTTATCGAAACGTTGAAGTGTCAAATGACTTTTTATTTTAGCAATAAACTAACATAAAGATATGCAACCAGTATGTGTAGTATATAATTTTAATGATTGTATCGCCAAATTCATTGATACTAACATACACATATACTTTTAGGTTGAATTATTGGTTATTGGAAATGTGCGTGAATGAACATACACAATAACAAATACTAAATAAATATAAGTCAATGAATGATTACAATATGATCAATTAATTAGTTGTATATAGCTGAAAATTCGCGTCAATATAATTTGAAATATTGTTAAATAATGGATGACAAAAGGATGAAGGACATCATCAACATAGAATCTGATACAGAAGTACGGTGGCTTAAGTTGCTATGATAAGCATATTAATATAAATTTGAATAACTGTAATACTATATCCCAAGAAAATAATGAACTAAAATTATGGAATACTCTTTACAACATATATCCCATTTGTGCTAATACAGTTCTGTTTGTATTGTTTCAACTATGCTTGGAAGTCCTCACAAGTCAGGATTAAGAGCTGTTTTGTTGTTTCATATATTATTGCCTTCAGCACTGTTTGACACGACACGAACATTTTGCATGTTAGGAATAAAATTGTAAGTAGCTAAGTCAGTTAAATAGGAGGGAAGATCTAACACGGTGATAGCACAACCTTTAAAATTCGTGGACTCGATACACGTACTTTTGATGGATAAATTTATAAAATTAGAGACTATATCAACTAGTAACCAAATAAAGATAGGTGTGACTCAAAATAGTGAGGTTTTAAGCTACAAAGCCATTGATCAGAACTAAATTGTCTTAAAAGTCAAATTCGGAAGTTTATTGGATAAATTATAAGAAAACAAAACTAAGGTTAGAATAATACACGATTATGTAAAATCACAATATATACAAAAACATTATAAAGTAACAAATCCACAGTACTAACTCGTCGAACATCGGCTGATTTTGGTTCAGCAGACCAACTGATAATTTTTCCAATTGCATTAATAACTTCATTTGATGGATTAGCAATCAAATCTGGACTCATCATTAAAATTAGATCTTTCATGTATTCTAATAGACAAGTTTTAACACGAAAATTTGGTGTATGTGCATTATCCATAATAAAATGACAGCAACTACTGAATTGCGAATTCAAAGGAAAGTGAGATCTATGAATAAAGAATGTTTTGAAAACAAAAATTGGAAGTATAGAAATAGACAGTATAGTCAACAGAGCATTATTCATTAAACGTTCAATAAAAATGATGCTTTAATTAATTCCGCAAAAAAAAACACTATCCACCTAGTGTGAGGAGAGCTATTCGTTTTCAATAAAAATGTGATATCTAGCATTTTTACGTTCATTTAGTGTGCTCATAGTCGATATAAGAGGGTAATTTCACAGATTTCATTTCAATTAGCTAAATTGACCTACATATGTCGTTTATGAACATGACACTGCAGCGCATTCTAAATTGTAGAACAAAAAAAGCAAAACAAGTAAAATTTAGAATCTGAGAAAAAATCCTCAGCTCTACATGCCAATAGTCGTCTACTAAATGGACTAAAAGTCGCCTGAAAATGCTTGATACTACAGACATATGGAGCATTGAAAATGGATGCGCTATGAATTTATGGGTAAGTATATTATCACTCCGTTAACATGTGTTCTGATTTAAATTTATATTTTCATGCCACACTGAAACTCATTTCAAAATAAATAGTCGTTATTTGATTTTGTTTAGCATGATGATGAGTTTGGTGCAGTTTACATTATATAGGACCATAAACACATTTTTTATTTTACAGATACTACTTGACCTTCTACTATTACACATTACTCATATTCAACACTTAGAATTTTCGAAAGAATAGTTATACATGACATTACTTCATAAAGTTATTAACTGTTGGAATGATTCGTGTTGAGAAGTATAGGTTACCTGGTTGGGGCCGATGTAATCCGTCAGTCAGTCAATCAGCTACAAAGTAGGACCAGGCACATACGTGCATTGGCCAAAGTTGCCATACCTCATTAGCACAAGATCAACACGGGATTCATAGAAGTGGTTAATTCAGTGGTGGTAATATATAAAATAAAGATTGGATATAAGGACATAGTTCAGGAAGAAATAACTAGTTCGTAGAAAAAAAGATATGAAGGAATTTTAACCTCATAGTTTAAGGGAAGACAAAAAGTGTATACACCAACGCCATTGTGATCGATTCTGAGCCATGTCACCAAGAGTCTCCAACCACTACTTACGATAGCCATGCAGACCCCAACCAAGTAGTCTGCATCTACCAACATGACTCAGACTAGAAGTTAGTGACTTCAAGTACTGATGCTATGTTTTGGTTTGGTCGCCCATAACCTTCTTCCAACCATCCCCAACACTAGTTAGTATTGTGCGTCGTGGTAATCGGTGTTCAGGCATGCGCAACACGTGGCCCAACCATCTCAGTCGATGAAGATTCACAACATCATCAACTGATTTGCCGTCATTCCCTAATACCCTGCGTCTAACCTCACTATTACTTACTCGGTGATCCCAGCAGGTGCCAGCATAGGTTGGAAGACAACAAGGATCAGAATAGGTCACAATGAGGCCGTTGTTATATTCATTATTTTTTGTTATCTCACTTAAGATCAAGATTTTCAGTCTTAGTTAACATATACCCTACCAACCTAACTTTTTAAACCACAATCTCAATGTTTAGTCTTTCTTATTATCATTGTTACAACATTAATTCGATTACTTTTGTTATTTATCGTGGTAATTCCATCTCAACGTTTTGTTATTGTAGTACATAAACGTGGGGATAAATCACATTTTTCGGCAAGCCATACAATGATTACGGTTGACTAATTGATAAACCGGCTATAAACCTTATTAACGAGAAAAGTTATACATTTTATTTTCCAGAACTTCCACATATCAAAATAATACAACTGTACACAACCTTATTTAATGGCAAAGTCGAAATAAAAACTGCTCTTCATCAAAATGTCTTTGCTTAACAACAAATCATATATATGAATGAGTATGCGAGTGATATCGTCTTACCATATAATGACACTCAGACCATACAATTCGCACTTAATCAGTTGGCAATTAGTGTCTGTAGGTAAGGCATGTGCTTTTTACAACCTCATTTTTATTGTATGAAGTATATGTATTTTGATGGTCCCGTCCACCAGTGTTTATGCGTCCAAATGAAATAAATAAATGATTACCTTCCGCATTCTTCCTCTCAATTGATATATTGAATTTTTTGCAGCAATGCTTTCAACAAAAACAAAACTAACGACTGAGTGAATACAGTTCAATTTAGGATGAAACTGTTATTCAACCGTTCATAATACACTAGGTGATACATGTAAGGGATGAATACTAGCAAACTCATATACATGAAATGTCACTAACCTGAGAACAAAAAGTGTTTCTTGTATTGCTTTCTGATGACTGCTCAAAGCCTCATGACTTTGACGATACAACAAACGTATTAATAGAGTGTAAAGCCAATCACGAAGTAATGGATTATATTCTTTAATAAAGAATTGTAATGTATCCATAAATAAACTAACAACCTTTGAAGGAGACGAAATAGGAAAAACAGAATAGAGAAGTACATTGATATTAATAATAACAAAAACCATGTCACGCATTTACCATGTTGAAATCTATGTACACAACCTACGCATTCTTGTGTATCGAAATACTAGGACCAAGACAGATGGAGTGCAGCTTGAACCTACGATCAAGTGACTGAAGATTAGGTGCTTTAACAAATAAGCCGCTGGGTTACATGCACAAAAAACGAACACGTAATATAATTTTAAAATCAATGAAAACTAAAAGAAAAAAGAGGGGAGAAAATGACTTACTTTACTTTGAGAATCCGCAAACATTTTAGAAAATATTTCAGTTAAGCAGTGAATATCGTCAGGACTATAAGGGAAATTTTTCATGGAAAAAAATCGGATTAAATGTGCCATAGAATTTGTAAAAATTATTTGACAAATCAATTATTTACTAAAATCTGACTCGTGGTGTTTTAATAACACAACTGGATATTTATTATAAACTTTCATTGAAACAATTGAAATTGGGAAGTGGTTTATATATGTAGTAAACGAGAACTCAGATGGGGAAAAACATTTTATTGTTCAATGCAAAATTAGAAAGTACTTTCTTGAAATATGAGAACCATACACTAAATACATTATTTGCACATCAACCTTCAATTGACCTTTACATGCTTCATGATTCTTTCAATTTTGTTGTTATTACGATTGCACTGTCTACTTTCCTGTTCTCTTCAATTCATTCTTCTGCAGCCAGGTATTCCACTACAGATTAGTGTTGTATACTACACTTATATCTATCAACATAAGCAGCATACGCCACACACTTGTAAATATACAAGTATCAAGGAAGATTACTTTTATATGATAAACTCAGTTACCAACATGCAGGATATATATACTTTACCTTCGAGGTACAGTCTAAATGTGTTACAGCTATTGATAGAAGGTATCTGACAACTCAAACTGAACAAGGTGGATTGCGACTGGAATTTAAGGCTAAGTGGTTCAATGTTGAACATCTTAACTAGTTAGTCACCACAGAATCACAAAGCTAAGTAAACAAATCCCTATTAAGTATGTATCATTACCAAGGTTTGACATGATACTTTCGAATAAATTGACCATTGGGTAGATTGTTATGAATAAGTAATATATTTGTAATATTCTTGTTCTTCCGTTGTACTATTTAAACTTGGATTAATTTTGACTTGGTTATTTAGTCTCTGAAGAAGTGGCTTACACTAAGTCACGAAACGTCAGAAAATCTAATTCTTCTACTCATTGGGATATTACAAATATATTACTTATTTATAAAAATCCCTATTAAGTTCGTATAAAATATTAGTTTGTTGTCAGGACAGTGGAAATAAACTCACAGAAGCAAGTTTCACCTAGTGATATTTATAACATAAAATGAACACATCCTTCAGTATGTCAAAATTGAATGTCACTAACATTCATCACCGAGTCATAGGGGTTCAAAAAATGTTTGTACGAAGTACTGGAGTGTCTACATTTGTCGACAATTCCACCTTTTAGACATTTGTGAGTCGAATTGAGATTGAAGACGAATATCTCTAGTCGAATTCTCCATTGATTATTATATGACAACTTCAGTGTGCTTCAAATATTACTATAAAATATTGTTCGTTGATTCTTTTTTTAAAGACTAAACAAAACTGATAAATAGAGTTCTTTGAGAGTGATATCCAGATTTTACAAGATTTACATATGGATGTAATGAAATGTGATTATTGGAACCAGCAGTTGGAGACGTTGCGTGCCATTGTTCAAAACCAATCTCAATTAACCTCATGCATTTACACTTTATTTTACATTATTATTACTGATGGTTTTATTCATCAATATTATTTTTTGGTAGGATATAAAATTCTCAGCACAAAGCATCTCAACAAGTTTCTTTTCCTTATTTTTTGATCGATCCTGACAATAAATATTGTGATCGACAATCAGATGTTAGCAATTCAGGAATCGACATCTAAATAATGTTCATTCGTTTTAATGTATATTACCAGCCACCACGATGTCTTTGATTGTATATTTTGTAACTATTACAGTGAAAGGTCGTAAACTTTTCATAAACGCGTTTGAATAGGTTATGAGATTAATGGACATAATGATGTGATAAAATAAACAAAAAACATATAACTTGTCGAAATATCTAGATGGCAGGAAAAGGTAGTCCAAACATTCAAGCAGGGCGCCAGTTGCCCATGCGGAATAATTGACTCTTGGGATTTAAAATGATCTTATGTTTTTATTCCGCGAAATAATTTTTTCTTCTCCTACTATCACTGATAATACTATTGGTGTTTTTACTACTCTGACATTTTTCATGATAATCTCATCTCGTTGTGCTATGTTAGTGTAGCCACTTGAATTGAATTAAATATGTACCAAGCTGTATGTTATCACTTATGACAAATCTTGTAATAATGGAAGAAACTTACTTAATAACCATTGATGAATCATAAGATCCTTATTAAAAAGTGTAAAAGCCTAACAAACTAATCATTATGTATTGAGCAGCGGTTGAAAGTCGAGGAATTTTGATACTGACTAAATATTATTATCAGTATGGGGGTTGTGGAGATTGTTAAGTTTTTTGGTTGAGATCATGAATTAATTGATGTTAGACCACCGTTGGAAACCTGGAAGCACTGGACGGCCGTTTCGTCCTAGTATGGGACTCAGTGGTCTAATGGTTAAGTGCTCAGGCGGGAAGCCAGTAGGTCCTGGGTTCGAATCCCGCGGGGTGCGGGATCGTGGATGCGCACTGCTGAGGAGTCCCATACTAGGACGAAACGGCCGTCCAGTGCTTCTAGGTTTCCAACGGTGGTCTAACATCAATTAATTCATGATCTCAACCAAATAAATATTATTAATTTAACAATCAAATAGGGAAGTGATTTGATATATTGGAGTGTAGTTTAATTTTTATTTTAATCAACGAAGCAAGAGGAATTACAAAAGAATTAAATAATATTGTTAAGCTCACTTTAACGGATAACCAGAACGCATATAATTCTGTAAATTTGTTAAGCCGTCTTTTCTGTCAGACCATTGAACAGCTTGAAGTTGAGAAATGATTTCTTTTAAATTCTATTAAATATTAGAAGAATTATGCTAGTAATACCAGTCATAATAAGCTTACGAGAATTATATATATATATATATATATATATAGTTAAGTGTCGGTTATATCGAGGCAAGTTTACTTTTTCATAGTGAGAGAAAAAACAGTGATTTGATCTACACAACTATTTACATCATTCTATTATCTATAATCATATGAACTGAGCATTTGTAAACAAATATTCATAATTACACAGTTGAAAGTCATGTAATTACAACAAAGCAAATGCAACTGCATTAAGAAGTATGAATAATTTTGGGATATATATTTCCTCAGGTTATACTATATCAGGTAGATCGGTTGAAGAACGGTAATGCTGAAAGCAGCAGTATAATGTTCAAGGGCCAAGTCGAGCTGTTAACTGTACAATGAGTTTACAACACCAAGATTTCTTCGTTAAACAACCAATATCTATACTTATGTTGACTTCTCAATATGGAAGGAAGGAGTAAACGGTCGTGACTAAAAATAGGACATCTCGCTATACGACAAGGATTTCCGTTTCCGGTGATAAGGTTTTTAAAACATGTAGCTAACACATCAAGAACTACTCGTCAAAAGGCCGTGTGTGACAGGATTCAAGCATTTGTCTCTTTCACTCTTCTGTAACACTTCCAGTTTACATTTCATGTACCTCAGAAAGTAGCTTACCACCGTATAGACAAACGCGAATTAGTAACTGACTACATACCTTGAACAACACTTAGGACTACTGTGTACACGATGACTGAGACCGGTTTAACAATGGAATGCATGATTTAGGTGCGAATATGTGAGATTCACCTTTGAGCTACATTGCAGGATGTCTAGTGGTACTTAGTTAGATGCAGAAAACAAAAGCAAATAAGAGAAGGTTCCACATCTGTGGTTGGCTGAAGTCAGTAAGCTTTATTCGTTAAGACACCAGATTTACAAGTGTAACGCTAAACGGAGTCGACACATTCTAATTAGAATTAAAAGACTTATAAATGTTAAATTTCCTCCGAATAAGTATCAATATTCATTTAAATACAAGTTATGGTAAAGATTATAGATCAGAAAAAAAATAAATTCATAAAGTAACTGAAGAGAGAGAGAGAGAAATACAAGTACAAAATCAACAAGCACGGAACATAAATAAGCACACACAAACATGCATAGAAGGAGGAAGATTTCGAACATTTTAAGAGGCTTTAAAGAGATTTTCACAACCCAAAACAGAGACGAACGGACCTAGATTGTACAAATTATGGTACTGATAATAAAATAATATTTATTCAGGCTATTTGATTTAACTTGATGGTGACAACAACACTAGGATTACTGACTAACTTTTCTCATTATATATATATATAAACATATAGACAGACGGATTTAGATATGGAGTCTAGATTGGACAGTAGGAACAAAGTGATGCGGAAAAACGTTTGACAGTCGAATGGACTGAAATTAAATTACCAGAAAAATAATCCAATAAGATGAACAAAACGTTGAATTAAACTAGAATGAAATTATTGAAAAGATTGAAAATGATGGATATTTAGAAAAACAACGGAGTGAGAATAAATCTGTTTGACTGATTTTATTATTTTAAGCTGTGTAATTTAAATGCTTTAGAGTTTCCAATATATACTTTGCCAAGATAACTAGGTTGTAAATTAGAACTTGGTTTGGGCGCCTGAGCAGTATTCCAGCCCTCACAAAAATCGAATGATTTGTGTGGCGCATATATATTTAATGCATCCTTGTACCAATGTTTATGTGTTTAAATAAATAGTAAATAATCCCAAGTCGCCTACTTCGATTTGATTAACTGGATAACATACACCAGCCATCATATGCACAAGTGTGGCTAAACGTTGAGTAAACGCACATTGTCATTCTGTAAATACGTTATTAGAAGTATCAGTCAGTTATAATCAATGTAGAGTATGGAAAAGAAACGAAGCATCCCAAGTTACCACACCACATTTGCACGACAAGATGGATGACGAGAGATAGAAATAATATAGAAGAAACGTTATTATGGATGACTGAACATTGAGAAGTTCGTACAAAAAAGTAGATTGGGAAGTTATATATGAAGGAATATTGGAATTTAATATCGAGGTGGAGACAAAAAGTGAATGTACTTTTGCCATTTTGAGCCATATCATTTAAAGTCCCTAACCACTGATTGTGGTTATCGTATGAAATTCAACAAAGTGGTCTATACTTACTAACACGACTGAGATAAACAGTTGATAACTTCCCGGAATGATGCTATGTCTTGGTTCGGCTTTCTACCTAAGCCTATACCACATAGGTAGGGGCAGTGGTTGGGCATAAGTAACATTGTTCTAACTACCCCAGTCAATGAAGATTTAAAACCTCACCAACAAACTAGCCATCTCTTCTTAGTACCACATGCCTAACTTCAACGTTGCTCACTCGGTTGCTCCAAAAGATGCGAGTAATTTGTTTTCAAGACACCTATGGTAAAAAAACTGTAGACTACGTATGTCTTATACTTTCATATGCCATATTTCACAGGCATCAAATAATATAGAGCGGAATAACGAGAAATGCATTGACTAATTGTTTGTTAGCCGGAGATCTCACTCAAGTCATAAGCGATTCAAGGATGTGTATACATTATGGCGAAATTTAAATCACGTCCCATAAATAAGAAGTCAGTAGTATAATGAACAGATAACTTATAATCATCGTTCTTTATTAGACTACTCAAAGAAAATAACTTTCTGCAACAGTGAAGCGACCAGTTCGTAAGTGCACAAACACACAGAACTATTAAGTAAAAAAATAAAGTATTAATAGTGATCTTATCTTTGTGAAAAATAAACTTACACTAGTCACTTTACTTGAGGACTGGCGCCTGTACCCGGGTACTGAACGACCTGAACGTTCAGAACACTGTGATGATGTTTCACTGAAGTTATCATCTGAGCCATATGGACCACGACTGTTTCCAGTTGAGTAATGTCGACCATATAAAGGCTAAGGAAGATAATATAACAACAGAAGCAATGAGTAAACAAACTTTCACTGGTAAGGTAGCTAATAGTCTGGTAAGCAAAAAAGAAAACTAATATTTATTAAAACAATGTTGATATTCTATTCACCTTTGCTACACAGCTGGAAAGCAATTCGAAAATCAATGTCCAACAAATAGAACCATCACTACACGTGATGATTGGATTCAATTAGACCTTTTTCATTTTTCAAATGAAAATATATACCATATTACAGAACAATCTCTCTTGAAAATGCGAAAAGAAAATACTTTAGCATAAATCTATAAAATATGTTCAAATTAGGAAAGAGGGTAACAAAGATAATTCTTGGTATCAATCAATTATTCGACGAAACTTATTTAAAGAATCTTCCTGCATACATATGTCAGTTATCTTGAACTAAGTATCCACGAGAGAATGATTTGTTTTATCAAGAAAAGTAGTAAGTTGTAATATAACAGACCTGAATTATTTAAAACAAACTGCGGAATATTTATACACCTTGCAAATAAAAGTAAAGAGAGAAATGAACAACGTTCCACTAATGTTCTATCTAATAATCGAAGTTCAGATTTCAACAAAATCAAATTCAAAGGAACACTGTAGACTAAACTAATACTGATAATAACGGAATGTATTTTACTTGTGAAAATACATGTTTTTTTAGAATGGGTTGGATTTGCTTACAACATAAAACATGTGTTTTTTGGGTACATTTACATTTATAAAAACGACTTTAACATTGAATTTACTCCGAGGCAAACACCATCCTTAAATGCTCTTCATTTTCAACATGAGAAATAACAATTTTGTCTTGGTGGTCCATTACTTCTCAAAAATATGCTCATTTTTACCTTACAATCAATGCCTAAACCGAACACTGTTGGTTTCACTTAATACATTTTCAGATCAAGATTAATTAGCCAGTGGTGGAATATATCATATATAAGGAAATACGTTAAGTTTAATAGAAGAAATTAATTGATTTTTTACTAGTTTCTATCCTATCTTACTGATACTTATTTGATTAAGAAATTCACATCATTAATGTGATTTTCATGACTCGATTCTATACGTCAAATCAATATCTACTGATCAATAGTCAACAACTTCAATTGTAGAGACATTATATCTCATTTTTGCTCGAATGAGTAGATGCTAGTTATATATATCAAAACGTATAGCAAATAACTCAAAGATTTGGTATCATATGGTTATTAGCTACCATGAAATGATTGAAGAAATGTGAACATGAAGTTTTTTAAAACGAAAATCACATTAATATATTGAGAAATAATAATGAATTATCCAATCATTGTTAGCAATAGACGACTAATGTGAAAAAAAGAGTAGAATTAAGCTACTAATCAGTGATAATAATAATATTTCTGTACTCATTACATACAAGGATGCATGATTGACGAATAGTAATGCATGCAGACAAAAGGTGCACGCCTTAATCAATACAAGACAGAAACATTTCAACATAAATGATATCTATTAATCAGTTAATGTACATTTTATTGAACTCAAAATGAATAAGTTATCACCAATCGTGATAACAATAATAACAATAATAATAATTACTTACTCCATCGCCGAGGTCAGCACAATCACTTAAAGTACCAAGAGATGCTGAAGAAAATACCCCCAACCCCCAAAAAGGGAGAAAAAAAATATTAGAATGAGTTATTTTATATTAATAGACATGTTTAATCAAATATCGTATATTGGTAAGTATGTTGTAGCTTTAAGAACTGAAAACAACGAGTATGCATTGAATGAAATGATGAGAACATGTGTGTATTGGAAAGAGAACACATGTCTTAAAAACGGTTTTCATATAAGGAAAGAACAAATGTTAGATACAAAAACAACAACTTTAGAATGTCCTGACACGATGGTTGTCACATTAATCAATGAAGACACATTCCAACGTTTGTACTCGATAATACAAGTAAAACGAGAGTCAAGTTTTATTCTATTACGTTATCTAACAACGGAACTTAGTTGGTTGACTAATTTATCGTATACAGGAGCGATAGGTTGCCACTGAATGAACACAAACATTAAAAAAGAACACAGGTTTAGTTGATTAAATCATTCGGCTTTCAATGAACCGATTGCAATTTTGAAACCCGGTAAATCTTATTTAATTTTATGGTAGTAAAGGCGACTATATGAACTTGTATTTGGCAAATTAATCAAATCATGATTGTCATCGCATAAGTAGACTTTAAAACAAAAGACCTTGTCATTGAATATTCTTACACCTCAGTAAATCAGTTGAGAAATCACCTAAATTATTTCAAATTTAGTCACCAATTGTCGTGTGTAAAATTGAACAGACGTACAAAATTACCAATCAATACGCATCCTGTTATTGGGATGACTGACTGACTGGTAAATAACCTAACAGTAATTAAGCTGTTCAAAAAAACTCAACCTCATTCTTGGCAACGTATACAGAATTTGTAATAATAATAATAAATAAATAACAAAGACAGAATAATTGATTACACAAAGACGTATAAAAAGGGCTTTATTGTTTTCAACACATAAGATTTTCACCTCATCAACCATATTGAAAACTACTATTGAGTTATATACACAAATAGTAATATAAAGTATGACATTTCTGTATTAAGGTACACATTACACACTTCGCTTTCTTATTTTGTAATGTTTTTTTTTAAAAAAAGAAAAGTTATAAATAATGAAGATCAAAATAAATAATGAACAATTGTAAATGACAATATGAATCATATTTCAGCCAGTTATATACAATATAGAACCTGACACACATATAGATCAGATTCAAGTTACCACGTCATAATATTAGCACAATCAGATGAAGTTATCAAGGCCGATAATGTCAGAGTAGTAGAATTAGTAACTGTGTTCATTAGTGGTAATAGAAAAGACTAAGCATAAGACAATATGATTTAGTGAGAAAATATAGAGGGTGGTGCATGGAATCTGAAGATTATGATTAAGATAATTTATAAACTTTGGATTTCAGATAAAAAAAGAGTGAATGCATCTGCCTCATGAAGGATGATTCTGAGCTATATCATCATAATCATCATCATGAGGACACCAACCGAGTGGTAGTGATCACCAACCTACTTACACGGTTCATTCACTCGTATATGACTTTATGAATTGATGCCACATTTCGGTCTGACCATCCCTAGCTTCTTTCCAACCTACTACTACATAAGACTTTATTAAGCAATGAAAGAAAAGAAATCGAATAACATGACACTGTTTTTTAGAGATGGTTATTGGGTATTTGATACATGATTACTAAACGTAATGGGAAGGTGAAGAAATTATTGCGGTAGCGTCGTCAAGACAGTGGATAATTCTTAGAGATGATTTTGACCTCAAGTTGATGGAGGAGACAAAAATCGAGAAACAGGATTGATGGGAAGTATTTGATGAAGGGATTCCAGACTAGAAGTAAAACGGCTACGTTCGAGGGACTGAGATATCACCTAGGATCGGCAAACGGAACGAAAGTCAGCAACACAACAATAGGACAAACTAATTCATTCCATTGCGCGCCATCCCTGTTAACTAGAGAGAGAGAGGACCAAATTCAGCCGGGAAAATATGTAATTCTACAAGCAGCCCAGAAGAATGAACGAACAAGCACACAACTCATGCGTATATATACAATAAAAAAATGTCTTTGAAAAGCGTCACATAATAGCGTATTAAAAGAGAAAACGAACCAAAAATGTTTAAGATCCTACCTGATGGGAAACACAAACTGAAGGTAAAAATGGGTGCTTTTGGAGCGAAAATGAGAAATTTAAATTTCCATCACGAAATTACAAAAATGGGAAATTTACCAACAAAAACCTGTGTTTAATGTCTGCCAACTGAGTTTTAGTAGTTCTCCTTTTGATGATGAACTTCGTCGTTAAACATGTTTAGGTACAAAAGAAAATGGAAAACGGAGTTTGCCTAAGTTATGTATCTCATTCATCTATGAGGTAAGTTTCATCATGAATAGCTTAGTTTTTATTTCTTAGATTATGCAGTTGGGTAACACGACAGTATTAAGTATGTTTTAGTAACAAGCAGCACTTAGTACGAAACCTAGATCAAGCAAGGTTTTCTTCCGATTACTTTCAACCACCTAAAATGATTTACGAACTTAGAAATAATGGAAAGAAAAGTACCAAAGTTCCGAACAAGAAACTAGAGAACTACCAGGTGAGATGTAAGGCGTACACCGTACAATCAATCGAGACCCATTAAAAACGTTACTAACCAACCAGCAATACAGACTTGCGTATTTTTATTTTTAAAACATCCGGATTTTATTCTTAATGTTAACAGGTTAAGGAACAATTCGGTTTAGAAACATGAGAGAATTGAGATCAAAAATGTTTTGGGATGAGTACACATTAAGCAATATATAAAAATTCTGTACTATGCGAAAAAAATAGTTCATGCATCATTATTCTACTTGCTTTCAAATAAAGGGAATTTTTTTGTTATAGTCAAAAACCGATTTTAACAAGAATGTTAGTTGAACTATAATACAAATACTAAAAATAAAATGACACAGAGATAAGAATAGTTAGTTTTCAACCGATAGATCATGAATTCGAACCCCACTAGTATTACTAGAAATTCACATAGCCAATATGTCCCAAATTCGCGTACATGAATATGAACATAATGAATAAGTTTGTATTACTCAACAATGAAGCTACAGTTTTTGAGTATGTAAAAACGAATAAACACTAATTCGGTTGCTCAAAATAGTGTTTGATCAGCTTACATATTGTGATTCTAATCAACGTAAAATAAATGCTCACAAGTTAAATAACGATGTATAAATGATAAATAGATATCAATTAAACTAACGTCTTTGCTGTTGTTGTCTCCGGTAATTCATTTGTCCAATTTGATTCGTACCAGTTAATTGAAAATTATTATTATGCTGATATGAAGGCATAGTATAACCGCTTGCAGTAGATCTTGTCGGTGATGTTTCTCGACTAGCGCCTTGACTACGTGGAACACGTGAATTCATGATTAAACGTGTAGTACGATCTGTAGTATTATTATTATTATCTACAAATCCTATTGTACCACTACGATTAGTATTAGTTGTATTGAATTGTAATTTTTGTCCATCATTATTATTAGATGCAGTGGTACCATAGGCAGTGAAATAGGCTAGACGTGATGGTGAAACTTCACGACTTGTAGCTAGAACGATTTATATATAAATATGTAGGCATAGAAAAAAATTTTTTTAAAAAGTTATTTCATTAAAAGAAAAAACAAAACGTAAAAATTTGTGCACAAATACGCTGAGATTCAGGATGGGATAAAAATTTATAACTGGTCTTTCCCACCATAAATAAGTGACATTTAACGAAACCATTTTTTCTAAAAAAACCCAGTAAAATCAATAGTATATTATCACTCAATAATATTTTATCATTTGATATACTATTAGTACTAGTAGTGTTTGTTGTTAATGTATAATTGTGTTTGTTTAATTCAAGAATTATTATTCTTAAACAGAGCAAAAACAAAGATTGTTGCAGAATAATATGAATTCATTTTATTTCGTTAGGTTCTCATCAGTTATTTACAACCTGTAATATTTAAAATAAACGTTATTACAGATATTGACATGCTCATAGATACGTAGGTGGTTAGAGATAAATATGTTTATCATGATGTAGAGAAGATTCTAACAGAGTTAATAAGGACATGAAAAATTTTTTTTCGGATGAATAAATAACGTTTCTAAGGGGAAATTCCAGAACATTGGGTGCCCAAACAGAAACAGGTGGTTTTCTTAAAGGGCCACACTCGGAGCCTTCGACCTAAAGGTCTGATCCGCAAGGCAGTGGAGCAACGTCAGGAGATTCAGTCCCATGGTAGCTTGTGACCAACACTAGGTTCATACACCATTTGTTCTCCCAGGATCCTGGAGCCCATGTGCACCATTGGTTTGGAATCAGGGTTTTCCAACTCATCTAGGTGGACTCTCCATGTCCACCAACCCGGTTAAAGAGCCGGACATTCGCTTTTCGTTCTCTCAATTTCGTAAACAACACCCACAACGTGAGAAGGCAATGAGTAGGACTTCCCTGACAGTAGCTGCATACGTGTGATCATGTGAGGGCATTTCGAGAGGGAGAGCGCTCTCTCATCACTCTCAGCCGTACCAGGGCATCTGGGGGCACGCGACAAAAATAAACATAATAATTCATCTGAGAATAGTTCTTCAAGTTCCATTTCTTCTAACTTAAATATATATTAACACTAAATCAAAATTAGGATACATTTATAACATTTTAGAGTTAAAACCTAACTGGTAGTTTATTTGACTGAATTGAACCGAAATCAGTGCAACACAGTAGTTCGGTAAAGTGCATTTCATTAGAAATACAAAAATAAATGTATTCAGTTTTGAGCTACACTTTATATCGGCGCTAAAATGAAAACTACTTAAGCATGAGTGTTCAAACCGAATTTGGTGGAGAACGATTCGACAGTGAGATTTAACATTTATTTTAGGATAGTAATTAGGCAGTTATTTGGAGATAACTGCTACTACCACTTAATGTTGTATTGATGTTTACAAATATCATTCAATATGATCAATATATTTCAATGGTTCAATAGTGTATTAATATCAAATAGCAAAATTTCATCATATTTGTACAAAAAGGTATGTGATTATTTGCTAAGCACTTTTACACAAATGTACATACATATATGACAAGTAATTAGCTGTTTATTTTGACATGTGTATAAATACAACATTGTCTGAAGAAGGTGGAGTTATTCAAGTTACGAAGGGATTCAGTACGAGTAATAGGTTATTTGTAAGACTTTATATTTTTCCATTGTTGATATTCAGGACTGAATTTTGATTAGTCTTTGTTAGTATATATGTATCCTCTGAACATATTATCTCAACACAGTCATCTTTAACATGTCTTACGACAGATGGATTGTGATAAGCAGTGAAATTCAGGACACACTACGTCCTACTTATGACACATTAGATGAATGTACGTGTTTTCCAGTGTTGCTGCTTTCATTGAGCCTCGAACTTCATACATAATGTATCAAAAGCAAACGCGTTATCCACTAAGTTAATTAGTTCACATTTTCACTAACTTGTACAACAGTTATGATTTCTAATCGCAAGAGCTGTTGAAAAAATAAGCTTCTTACCGATATGAATTTAAATCACATTTTACACATCGAGAAGAATTAGGGAAAATTAATCTTTATTAAAAAGGTTAGAATTCAACAATCATATAAAGTATAGTGAGCAGAACAAGGATAAAGGAGGTTTCATGACAGCTGTGTTTTAGTGAGATCTTTATTTTCTGTCATGTTTTAAACAGCAATTAAATACAATTATTTACCGTTTTAAACAAGGTCTTGAAGTTGATGCTAGTCAACTACACTAATTATTTAGTATAAATAAAAAAATTAAGGTGAGTAATTGTTTTATCATAGTGAAAGTGTAATAAGTGAATCAAAACTTACGCTGTGACTGTGATACAAGTTTTCTCCCAATCTGACGTGGACGACCGTCGTAATTTGAAGCAATTGATCCTTGACGGAAAGAACGACCAACTGAGAAGAAATGTACAGAAAAATTATGTTGTGACAATCATCGTATGGTAATTTAAAATATTACGAAACCGAAGGTGTATTTTTTAAGAACAAGTCTAAAGTAGGTGGTTATGGAAGAAAATACACTGAAAGACATGAATAAAAATACATTTATTCCAAAAACATTCTTTGTATTAGCACTAACGAAAAGCTATGAAGGTTGTTATTCTTAAATGAGCAGTGATTAAAAATAGGCGTTGATTATAATGAGTGGTGACAGATAAATAATTCATGTTCACAGATCACCCTCGATTGCTCTAGACATTACGTCATGATGCACTTTTTATTCGCATTATTTAACCATTATTCCTTTATATACGATTATTCGTACTCTTATTATGACTATCATCTTCCTCACACAACTCTTTGTGAAATGTTGAATTTTAACCAATGCAATATTGTGACAGATTACACAACGATCTTTATTGTTTCTCACTCTGACAGGTGGAATTCAAGGAAGTTTTACTTATTGACAATTAAAGCTCACGATAAGGAGCTCACTAATAAACGAGGAAACAATCACACAATGTTTCACTTCTACTATATCAGATAAAAAGCGCTAGTAACTAAAGTGGGGATGAGGTATTAAAGTGAGTGTAGATGCTTCGGCAAACAATGTTGAAACACTACCTAACTGATAATATAAGTCCAATCATTGTGTACAAGCTAATGATATTATCTGGTTGCACGAACTTTGCATTTCAAGCACTCGGAATGACCAGGTGCAATTACCAGTTTTCTTTGTGCAATTCGATTCTAGTGAGTTGGCTAAATTGAGCGTTCGATTCGATTTGCTAGCCGCTTCTAGTAATCCTAGGCTAAATTTACACGGCAACTTCGACACAAAAGAAAAAGTGCGAAGTGTGAAAAAAACACTTTACTCTGAAGTTATTTTGTGTGCAGAGAAACGAGAGTTTTATGGAGTTACACATGATCTTAGGCTACTATGAGTTTCTGGGACCGTATTAAATATAGTTGCAGAACAGGTAAATATCCGACCAGAAACGTGGTATGACTTAGTCTTCTAGATTTTTCTGAGAAGCCTCTATTTAACGCTGATTGGATAGTGTTTCCAAGCGTTTTTGCCCCCTATGAACATTTCCGGTGAGTACTTGGAACTCACTCTAGATTTTTATTAAGTGTACACAGAGAAGGTGCATGAGAAAGTAGCAACTATTAAAGTAATTTAAATAAGATTATATGAATTTTTTTATTAAAAAAACAGCAACTGATAAGTAACCTTACCGGTATTATACTCATTCTGACTAGTTAATGGTGGACGACTGCGATTTGTATTATTGGCTAATGAGCTAGTGCCTAATACAGGTCGAGTTGGTCGTCTGGTACTTTGGTAAGTTAAATTTGACTGACTACCAGGTTGACTCCGAGATGATCCAGTTGTCGCAGTATCACCGGCACCAAACCCTTCTGATAATCCTGCAGCGATCAAATCTTTTTCAATTAGTTTACGTTTTTGAGGATCAAGATTTTGTAAAAATAAATTCGCTTGCTCAGGAAATTTAGCAACAAATAATGGGAATGAACTAATTTAAAGGTAAACGGAAAAACGAGAAGAAGTATAGTAATAACATAAAAACTGAAGTGTTAGTCAACTTATAAAAACAGCCAATTAATAAATCATAAGATATCCAGTTGATAATGAATTATTATTGATAATGTATCGTTTTATACATGAAACACAATGATGCAAGCAATATTCCTTAAACAAATAAACAACTCGACAATTTTTCACGTTTCGATTCGGTCTGGGTACCCGGGCAGTATCACAGCCCTCACACAAATCGAATGATTTATGTGGCGCATATATGTTTGGTGCCTCCTTGTACCAATGTTTATGTGTTTAAATAAATAAATAATAATAAATAATAACAGTAGGGATAAATACTAAGAAAAGCGAGTGATACGGCAACAAAGTGCATATTATTTTAAGGTATCTAAAAGAAGCCTAGTGACCACACTTTTGTATGCACCGATGATCATTGTTTAGTAAAAGCGTTATTTGTAACCTCATTGATTATGCAATCATTAACCAAGTTATCACAGTACTAAACTATCTGCTTTCAAACAGATTGCTAAATCTGATAACACTAGTCATCATTCGCATAAATGGTTAAGGTATTGATTTGATGAAGTCGGAATCTAAAACGAAAAGTTACTTTAGGGTTATGACGATAATGTGCACTGAATGTGTACGAACTAGTGATACCGTTCAGGTCACCAGTTTATGGGTTGTTAGAAGCGTGTGTGTGTGTGTTAACGATGCCTCTCAGTTGTTGGAAACGAAGTAAGGCAATAATCTTTAGAAATAATTGAAAGACATGGTTAGTGTAACCATAAAGCTCAAGGGGAACCTATGTAAAATTGGTTACACCACAGTTCTTACGTATTAGTTATTTTTATTTTATTTGAACACATAAATATTGGTATAAGGGGGCACCAGATACATATGCGCCACACAAAACAATGAGAATAAGAAGAGAAATAGAATGTAAGGTGCGTATAAGAGAAAAAAGAGAGAACAATAACGACCACAGATTAGTGTATGGCAGTGAAATAATAATAATGGGGGAAACGGGAAGAATACAACCAGAAAGAATTCTTTCAGTTAAGAAAGTTACAACCACTTTTTATGAAGAAAGTAAAAGAGGGTTACAGCAGGATCGCCACTGGCTTCTATTCTTAGCCATATCTGACAACGTCTATAGCCACTGTGTTGCACCATCTCTCGGACCCCAGCCAGAGAGTCGAGAAGGACCAACGTATTAGTTATTATAATTTTAACCCCGCTCGTTCTAAGAACTTAATATCTAGCAGCTAAAAGCATTAATTCACGAAAGGAAGCATTGATCATTCGAGTACAACTATATTACTGCCGTTACGTACGTGTAGTCGCTACTTTTAAATCACCTTTAGGCTCTATTCGAATCTAAGTTTTTTTTCCTCAGAAAGTGATAGCATTTCAATAACATTCCACTTTGGAACCTAGTGACTGATTATATACTGCCTAACTCGATGCATTAAGTTTATTGCATAAATATGTCCACTATGAACAAGTTCAGTCAACTTACAAAATCAACTGTGAAAGACAGGAGCATATTGAAAAAGAATGAATGCAACAAAGTTTCAAAGCACAAAACCTGTTTTTTTTTCATTTAACTTACCGTCTAGTAAATAATCGAGCTTCCTGATCTGCATCTGAAATACCTCGCCTTAGTGCATCTTGCAATACAGAGAGATTTTTTTCAAGAATATTTAATGGCCAGGTTCGGAAAATGATTTCTAAGAATTCACAAATGCATCTATAAAAACAAATGAAACTAAATGTTCGTTTACGAATATATCCAATGGAGGTACAAAACAATATTCGAACACCGAACAGATCTGATTACCATTAGAGTAACTATAGACAATGTAATATAATATCAGAGTTTCTTTTGTGAAGGTTTGGATCTTTTCGACTATATTTACTATATGGGAGCTCCTTGAACAAGTGCATTAATACTGTCTCGGTTTAGAGTTGATTTACATGGTGAATAGGGGAGAAAAATAGAATCTATGGTGCGCTTTTCGAATTATTTGGTACTCATCAGCCGAATGTACTTATACCCCAGTAATGATGTTTACAGTAAGACTGTAGATACATACACGATGTTATTGTAACTCAATAGTTTGGAGCATAACCTTCTGGTATGTCAAGCGGTAAGTACTGACTTTTGGATTTTCTTGAAAAAAACACCAATATAAAACTGCAAGTACATTATCCAGCATACTAATCCCAAATAGTATAAAATGTGCATCTTAGAATTAACTGCTAGACACTTTTTTGATAACGACAACAGCGTAGGACTATAGAAATGACTTAGTAGACAGATTTCTACTTTGAAATGGTAGGTCGTAAGGTTTAAACTCCGCTCCATCTGTCACCTTGGTTTGAGCAATCGGACAGTAGTATCATTAGCCCTCACATCCAAAAGGTAGAGATTCAAAGCCGACTACATAAATATTTATCCAGTAAATGTGTTGTTTTAGAAATTTTTATTGGTTTTACATCTGTTTAAGCTTTTATAATATCAGACTGTAGTGTTATTTATCATCAGAACTATTCGAAAATGAAATAGAAATGAGAATGTTAACAGTTATTGGCCCGAGTGAGGCAAATGCTCAATGCAATTCATTAAATCAAGAACTGTTATTATTTAAGTGACCTTAGCGGGGATAGGTAAGTTGAAAATAAGTTGATTATAAAGATCTAATACTAATTATCCTTTAGTATAGCTGATATTGACCTGAAATCTCAGCTAGAACTAGAAATCACCACTAATTGACCATCTTTAATAGTGATTTACTTGACAGCAACAACGAATACATATTAAATACCGATGAAAATACCGAGTATGATTAATTTATCGTTAAGTGTATAAAAATTAGTTGCAAAATATATTTACACATTGGATCAGTCTGTGGATGTAGATAACCTGATTGGTGTCAACGTGGTAACCACGGTCAGTTGTGGACCAACTATGATTAATGTGAGTTAAAATTAGTCGAAATGGCATAGATGCATTTACAATTTATCTTTCAATATTAAATTCCAGTATTCCTTTACATATACCTTCTCATTACGGCTTCTCAAACCATATCCACACTAAACAGTTTTTTCTTATTAACATTTCTTTTACATTTTGATCTCTTTCGCTGTTTCTCTTCATATATTCATTTGATTGTCTTAACGTGATATGATAAACTGAGACAGTGAGCATATCTGCCAAGCTCTATGTTGATGATGACTGAGACTATTCACATCACTACTAGTTCTAATAACTAACAGATAAAGTCTACATAATCTCGGTAACAATATAGAAAGAAGAATTTCGTATGTGCAACGAAAATAGTTATTGATTAGTTGTTGTTACACGGAATTAAAAACAATAAACTCACTTTCTGGTAACATTAGACTTGGATGATAATGAAGAAATGAGAATGGGGAGAAGACGAGAAGAACATGTATTCTGTGTTGGAAGTGAAGAAAAAGAAGAACGTTTTTATTGAAGGAAATATAGATAATTGACGACGGTTTATTTGGTTAAAAATTTCCTTGAATTCATTCTAAAAGTTACACAATTAGCGGTATTATAGAAAGAACTGTTGAACGAAAACTTGCCTGATTACTGTTTATAAAGTTACCTTTACACTAAACAATACGAATCATTGTGATGTTACCACAAGTAACTAGTTTTCTTTGAATGACCTTCACAACATTAATTTTAGATTTGATTCTATTTGCAATGGCTTGGATTATCCCATTGCTGATATTCTTCACTGAAACTTGATCGACCTTGGTTGGTATGTGTACGTTTGGAGGGAACAGTACTGGGTTCGAACCCCAGAGTGAAACCAACTGTAGAACCCAAGTACATCCAGCTGACGAGTCCCAAATAGGGAGAAACGTGTGTGTTGGATCTCACTGCTAACCACATTACATCTATTCTATTTCAATTGTATATATTAGGATAGCTACTTTGATCATTTGAAGGTTACGTACCGTTTTCCAGTGTGCACTTAAATATTTACAAAAAATGTGTCGTAACTGTTCATACCGAAGCAAGATGAATATCCTGTATTCTATTTCAGTGTCTAATCGCTTCAACACTTGATTATTTTCGGTGTTTAAGATGTAACAAAAAAGGCTCATTCAGTCATATGCAACGTAGAACCCGAATCATGTGCATCGATTCAAGTTGCCGTACCACATTAACACAGAGAGAAAATTATCCCGAGAAATCCAAGAGTATTAGAAATAGTAGCAGTATCAGTAGTAGTAGAAAAGATTAGTTATCGAAAAAGGAATAAGAGAAATTCAGGACTCAGATTTCAAAGGAATATAAATAGTGAATTTACCTTCTGCAGTGCGAATGGTTCTGAGCCATGTCATTCAAATTCTCCAACCATTGATTAAGATAACCATACGGACTCTAAACATACAGCATACACCTATTAACATAGCCCGATCAAACTGTTAATGGCTTCAAATACTGGCGCCATATCCTGGTCCAGCCGCCCCTGCCTTTCTTCCAACCTACTCCTACATCGGATAACATCGCCTGTTGAAGTACGAGGTGGTTGGGTATATGTAACAAATTTGACAATCACTTCAGTTAATGAGGATGCACAACTGATTCACCATCTTAACCTAGTGCATTATAACCTAACTTTTGTATCACTCATACACACAAAGCTAGTGTTAATATGGGAACGATTAATTTAGTACGGAGTCCAATGTTTTTTAAACTTCCCTTAGCAAGTCCAACCAAGAGTCAGTGTGGATAACATGCATTAGTTTCATGTTTTGGTTTAGTCATTTTTGATTTTTTCTGGCTCCGTCCTACATCGGTAAGCATCCTGGACAATTGATTAAATCACTGAATAGAATCTTCTTATATATCCGTTGAATTTATGGAACTTTCCATATGTAAACAATGAAGTTCATATTTTAATAACTTTATATTTTTTGAAAAGCCTATAGTTGCGTAATTCGCTTAAAGATATTTATTTATTTACATACAAACTGTTCCCAATGATACTCGTCAGTGTAATTGGTCATTTATATTGTTTAAGTCATATTACTTCTACAAAATAATGTCGATAATAATAATACTGTCAAATACATATCAATTATTTTTCCATGTTTTTGTAATGTGCAGAACAGACACACACACGCGCATAAATCTACCTACTCCTGTAACTATTTTTCAATTACTTTTCTAATCAAAAAGTTCACGAAGTTATAACACGAACGTGTATATTAATCTCGAAATTCCACAAAAGTTAACAAACAAATTGAACCATTTCATTTCAAATACCAAATGAATAACATTTTATTGATCATTCATTCACTGTTTGAAAGGATTATAATGATGGTAACTTAAAAGAAAGGGATAATAGTTCTATAATTCATTAAATAATTAATGATCTGGTACATATTCATGTACAACTCAACACTGAGCCACTCGATTGATTGATAGACGGAAAAGTTTTAAACTCGGAATTCCGCCATTGCAAAGGGATAATTTTCATGAATAAATACATGTTACTTTTTTACGAATAACGAAAGGGAAACATAGCTCCTAACAGCGTATCAGACTGGTATATTTTATGATATGGTACAGACATAAAACAATACCTTTTCTGTCTACCGTTCCATTCATAATCTAAGCACTGCTTATTCAGTAGTTTTAGAACACGCAAAAGAATTCCATAATTGCTGTCATAGAATACTTGCTAAATTCCTGGTATGACCTACCATAAATAACTACATTTCGGTGGTGTAATTAGATAGTGATACCCTAAAAAGAGTACTGCAAATAATAGACATTCGGATAATGAGACTACACTAGAAGTGGTGTAAGTTATCAAACGCTAGTTGAAATTTCACTCGATCAACAATTAACTAAGGTTGGTGCAATTCCAGATGTAGGTAAAATGGTCGAGCAACTTAATTGCATCGTTCCTAACTGTTTATTTAGATTGAATTTTGTTTAGTGATGGGTAACACGTTGCGTCTTATCAGGGTTTTCCTTTAACTATCGCTTATTATGTGAATACGCTATAGGGTTCAAGGTAGATATATGCAAGCAACTGGAGCACTCAACAATCAAGACCAGTGCAAGGTTATCCTTGATAGCTACACGCCCCCAAATGCCCTGGTACGGCCGAGAGTGGGGAGAGTCCGCTCTCCCTCTCGAAATACGCTCACACGGCCACGCGTATACAGACTCTGCCAGGGAAGTCCTACTCATTACCTTCTCGTGGCTGGGGTGTTGTTTACGAAAATGAGAGGACGAAAAGTGAATGTCCGGAGCTTTAACCGGATCCCAAACCAAATCAATGGTGCACATGGGCTCCAGTATCCTGCGGGAACAAATGGCGTATGAACCACTCGTTGGTCACCGGCTACCATGGGAATGCATCTCTTTATGATGCTTCACTGCCTTGTGGGTTAGACCTTTAGGTCAAAGGCTCAGGGTGTGGCCCCCTAAGATAACCACCTGCTTCGGTCTGGGCACCCGGGCAGTATCGCAGCCCACACGCAAATGATAAACTATGTCTATGGAAACTACTTTTCTCGCTTCGAATAACAATCAAATGATTCAAATGATTATCATTACCATTATTATTATTATCATTATTATTTACCATATTATTCACCGTCTTTTATACTTATACAGTGCCTCGTCTTTGGTGGAAATTCGACTGTATCTAAACGTTCTCGAGTCACTGTCCGGTTAAAAATTGTATGCTACCACCAAATACGAATACTGAAGCAGTTTTCCTAAAACTACGTGCACCATTCGAACTGGCCGCCTTCAACGTTCGCACACTTATGCAGGTCGGACAACAGATAGAGCTGGCTATGTCTTTAGAAAGTCTTAATATCGACGTTAGTTGTCTATCCGAAACCCATATTCAGGACTCTGATGAAGCACTACAAATTCGCTCTCCATCTGTCACTTCAAAAATCTTGTTTCATGAGCGTTTATCCGGGGACCTCGTGGCATCTTCGTCTGGTCTGACTGGCGTTGGTGTCGCACTAAGCACTAGGGCTGAAGCAGCACTAATCGATTGGATCCCCATTAACAGTCGGTTATGTGCTGTTAGATTAGAGAGTTCCATCAAAGTTAGAATAAATCAGCGTGAGAAACGATGTCTTTCCGTTATCTCCGCCTATGCCCCAGCAGATTGCAACCCGGATGAAATCAAGGATGAGTTTTACCACCAGTTATCTGTTCTTCTCCAGAAAGTGCGTTCGACAGATATTGTAGTTACTTGCCGGAGACTTGAATGCTCAGGTCGGGCGTCTAGACACAGAAGAGAGTCGTTTAGGTGGTCGATGGGGACTCGTTGGTCGCAGGTCAGATAACGGGGACCGTCTACTACAACTTTGCAGACCACAACCTGTTTCTGGCTAGCACTAACTTTCGGCACAGTCATCGCCGATGTGCCACCTGGCGTCCTCCCTCTGCATCTCAAGCCTGGACTCAGATTGATCACATCGCGATCAGCTACCCTTGGCGTGCTTGTGTACAAGACTGCCGCTCCTTTTGGAGTACCTATCTGGACTCTGACTATGCCTTGGTCTGCGCCAATCTTGCCTTACTTTTCAGTGGACAACGAAGTGACCCCCACCAACGGATTGATGTTAGCAAGCTGGTTGCAACTTCTGTTGATAGTAAGTATCGAACCGAGCTAGCTTCTAGGCTAGCTACCATTCCACTGAAAAGTATAGATGAGCATTGGTTGCAATTGCATGACGCCATGAAAATGGCGGGTACAGTCAGTTGTGGGTTCGCGAAACGTCCCGCTTATAAGCATTGGGTTTCTGCAGGTTCCTTACAACTCATTGAAGCCCGTCGGTCTACTCCGGGTGACCGTGAGTTTGACCACAAACGAAGGTTGTTACGCAAGGAAATTGGGCAAAGCTTGCGTAAGGACCGAGAAGCCTGGTGGTCGAAGCGTGCTAATGAGTTGGAAGCAGCAGGTGCATCTGGTAATTACCGGAAGCTCTTCCAACTCATCCGAGCCACTGGCAGCGAGAAGTCTGGTGTGAGCGAAACAATCTGCGAGGATGTATTGATCACATCTTCACCCTCCGCCAAATGTTAGAACACCGCCATACTTATCAAAGGCCAACAATCGTAGTGTTTCTTGACATCAGGGCTGCCTTCGATTCGTTGGACAGGACTGTTCTCTGGGATTGTCTATTGAAGAAGGGTGTGCCTGAGAAGTTTATTAACGTCCTAAAAGCCCTATATAAAAACACCTCAGGCAGAGTGAGGGCATACAACCACCTCTCTCCATTGTTCCATTCGAGCAGTGGGGTTAGGCAGGGTTGCCCAATCTCACCATTCCTCTTCAACTTTGCCATCGATGACATTCTGGAAACAGCTCTGATGAATGTAAGTAATGGCGGTGTGGATCTGTTGCCTGGAGAAAGACTTCTCTACCTTGAGTATGCGGACGATATTGTCTTACTGTGCGATAATGCCCAAGACATGCAATCCGCACTCAATCAGTTGGCAATCAGTGTCCGTAGGTATGGTATGTGCTTTGCACCTTCGAAGTGCAAAGTACTTCTACAAGACTGGCAGGATTCCAATCCTGTACTCGCCCTGGATGGTGAGCAGATAGAAGTAGTCGAGAAGTTCGTGTATCTGGGTAGCTGCATAAGTGCTGGTGGGGGTGTGAGTGATGAGATCAATGCACGTATAGTGAAAGCCAAAGCGGCTTATGCCAATCTGGGTCACCTTTGGCGCCTTCGTGATGTTAGTCTGGCTGTAAAAGGTCGGATCTACAACGTGTTAGTGAGAGCAGTTTTGCTCTATGCTTGTGAAACCTGGCCTCTCCGAGTTGAGGATGTTAGACGACTCTCTGTGTTCGATCATCGCTGTCTCCGAAGGATTGCTGACATTCAGTGGCAACACCATGTCAGTAATGCAGAGGTTCGGCATCGTGTGTTCGGGCACAGAGATGATAATTCAATTGGTGTCACTATCTTGAAACACCGACTTCGGTGGCTTGGACATGTTCTACGAATGTCGTCCCAGAGAATTCCACGTCGTGCATTATTTGCCGACTCTGGGACTGGTTGAAAGAAGAGGAGAGGTGGTCAGTGCATGACATGGTGTCGTGGTATGAAAGAAAGCTGCAAAGGACTGGCTTCTGTCGGTCCTTCACGACTCCCTGGTTGTGGTCTGAGAGATGGTGCTACACAGTGGCTAGAGACGTTATCAGATATGGCTAAGAATAGAAGCCAGTGGCGATCCTGCTGTAACCTTCTTTTACTTTCTTCATAAAAAGTGGTTGTGTCTCCCTTAACTGAAAGGTTTCTTCTTATTGTACCTTCCCGTTCCCTCATTATTACTATTATTATTACTACACTACCTTACACCAACCTCTTCGTTATTATTCTCTTTTTTTCATGCTCCTTACCTTTTTTTCTTTCTCTTCGAATTCTCATTGTTTTGTGTGGCGCATATATATTGGTGCTCTCTTGTACCAATATTCGTGTGTTCAAATAAATAAAATAAATAAATAAATGATAGCAACACTAGAGTTGAAGGATGGGTTTGGACTTCCAACGATGGACAGATTTCCCTGAGCTCACTGAGAAACATTTGTCAAGAAACCAGCGTCTAGAGCATGCTCGATAAAAAAGGACATAATGCGATGGTAACTTTGGAAGATTTTTACTTACCTCTAAAATAAATCGCATCGCAACCACTCCACTGGTTGCCATAACTTTAGCGCTATTAGATAATAACGCGATGATTGTTTGTAAAACACTCTCAGCGAAACGATCAAAACGATTACGAATTTCTTGAGATAAAAAGCTGTTATTAAGCAAAAAGAATATAAGGAAATGAATCTAGTGAAAATAATTGAAGTACACGTTATGAAATGTTTTAAAGACCTTGGTGGTTTGAAGTGAATCAATGAATGGAGATGTAAACTTTCTTCGGCTGAAATAGTCGAAACATAGATAATGCAAACTTAACCCACGTGCCATCCTAACTAACATATAGGAGTAGCCCAATAAAAATGGTTAACATCAGCCAGTCTGACACACTACACCAGTCTATGAAGTCATCAACTGGCTGGACTTGAAACATGTCAAGCAATCCAAGTTTCCTTGTTGGTTTCCATGAGGTTGGAGACGCTAGGTAACAAAGAAATATATACATTTATTCTTTATTTCTTTATAGCTACCAAGTTAAGTACGATTTCATACTTGTTAGTGCCTGATACTATTATTTCCTTTCGTGAATCTCTCATGCCTATCTGGTTTAAGAGACACAATGAGCAAATCTAGAGGTCGTTCTAAAGCGGAATTCAAAAATGTGACTCAGTGACGGAAAACATGTTTTTTTAACTAGGACGCAAATTATCTATTAAGTGAGATAGATAGCTGATGATGTTTCCTACAAATACCTAGGTAAATTGGACATGGTTTGAGTTTACAACCCAGTGGCAGAAATTTGAATATTTAAACTAATGAACAACAAGTACATAGGAGTTTAAATTATGAGTGTATATTACGTGAGAAAAGTGGGAAATAGAGGGGTTCCAAATGTTTAGATTGAATATAGCAAACTGCATAATTGACATTCGTATCCCTAACAGCTGAGTAGGTTTTAAACCACCAAAATGTAGTGTTGAACGTTTTTTGTTGAGTTACGCTTGGTAAGTACTATAGGGACATGAGTAAACGGATGTTAAGGAGAGCACGAAATGAGTGAGGCCGTTTTCAGGTAAACATTATTCCAATCTAGAAACACTTGATAATTTAAAGAAGTGATATTTAATTGTCCAAGATGTTAATCAGCATATCTATAAAGCATCAGGGATCGCAACCTATGATTTTAGCTGGATAATTGTTAGGAGAAACTTTGTTGTCAACTTATTGTTTGATTGAATACTCAAATGTATGAAATACTGAAGTGGACCACGCAATTAGTAAACAGTCTAACCACTTTAAATATTATATTGATAAAAACATTAGAACTTATCACAATATTGATGGGATCTGACTTGAAAATTTGATTTCAATGATAATAACCCAAGGATAAATATTTTTAATAAATTGTGTAGTCATGCATATGTTAACTTACGCGACTGTTATACATGCTTCTCGTACAACTGAAGACCTTAAATCACGCAGGGAAAGATCTATGGAATTTTCCAAAGTTTTTAATAAGGGAATAAATTCATCGTATTGCAGAGCACCATTGGCAACTATAGCACGTAATGTTTTTAACTGAAGAGAAGGAAATGATAACAGAGTAGATTGCATGGAATTCAAAAATACAAATAGTCAATTAATTTTGATTTAAAATACGCACTAAGAATTTTTGATGAATTTTAGAGTGGTTTACATTACAACCAAGCAAATTCCTAATTTTTATTTGGGGACTGATTGTAACTTAAAATTTTAAGAAGGAATTACAAATTCAGAGGAAATTTGTGTATATAAATGAATTAAGTACGACACTGGGGGATAAATCATACTACATTAGGAGCTAATCATAGAAAAGAGATTAATGGACTTAAAAAGAATGAGCTGCTATAAAATGTTGGGAAACGACTACAAAATTTGTTTTAATTATTGTGAAATTGATATTGACTTGGAATAAAAACTGCCATTATTGAATTTTTAGAATAAGTACGACCCAAAAAGAAGAATAAGGAAACAATTGAAATTACCGCATCTACACGTTTTTCCCATTCTTCAGGATTCCCAGAAAGTGCATCTTTTATACGATTTATGATCTCCGTAAGCTCTTTGGGAGAAGATGCCTACATAAGAAGTAGATAAAATGCATAATCATAGTAGACTTACAGTGATTGACATGGACGGTATAAAGGACTGTCGAAATACATCCTCATCCACGGCGCCAGCACCTAAAAGAGAAAATTCTATAAAAGTATGGCTTTTATAGAGGAAAGTTTGATTGCTTAAAAAACAAAATAAAATAAATACTAATGGTGTTTTGGAGTGGTAAACAATGAAACAAAACAAGTAATAGAATGTATAGGTAAACAAAAACAACTAAAACTCTACAAGAGTGAAAGGAAAAACAAAACACAACACAAACCAATACCTGATAGTGTTAATGATGAAGATGATAATCTAGATCGAGATTTACTGATGAAATGCTGAACACTGTTATTTGTCGTATCAAGCTGTTGAAAACCACCATCATAACGACAACTGCCATCAGTATACTGTTTTATGCATATTAGAAGTAATGATTTTGACAAAATGACATGTAAGAGATGACAAAATATATATGAGTGGATATGTGTGCAGAGTGGTGGCAGGGGAGTGGGACTTAATAGGAAATCATGCCAATGAAATGATGTGCAAAAGTGAATGATTTTCTTTAATGAAACAAAAAAATAGTATAGCATGCACAATACAATAAAATTAATGAGGACGTTTTTACGAAAACTACCTTGTGGATCACCGGTGGAACGTTTTCGTACAGATTTTCCACCTGGAGATGGTAGCATGTGTAAGATGGAATGATAATGATTAACCCGAGTCAGAAATTGTTTAGATATTTAATTAAAAAAGGAAAAATCACACAAGTCAGTCAAAGTTTTTTATTCGACAAAAATGTGAACTACTCTGAAAAGTTTCACACGCTAAAACTGCCAAAAGCAAACTAAGCACTAGATCAGCAAAAACGATATCAACAGAAGAAAAAAGGAAGATACCTGAGACTGAAGTTTTGGATAAAGTTCCAGGTTTGCGTTCGATGCCATCAGCAGCGGAGTTGGACATAGCAGTAGTCACAATAACAGATGGAAACCTGGAAACTAAATCCAAAGATAGCAATAAGACCAATGAGAATAAAGTTAGTGTGATATATTACTGGTGATTTGTTTAATGGATTGGGTAGTCCAGTAAAAAAATAACAATGATACATCAGTTTAAACTATCAGAACTGGTAAACAGGGTAAACGAATACGGGAAATAAGGTTGTATAAGTAGGGAATTCGTTGGTAAATGATGCCACAAAACTTAAGAAAATGGAAAGCAAGAGTAAATAGTGAATGTTTGCTAGTTTAACCTAATAACTGTAGTCATCTAAGCTCATTACATTTTACACTAGTTTCTTACTATCTCGCGTAATTTGACAAAGTTTATTTCAATGGGTCTCAAATTAACCTTACATTTCCGATATTTTATGACTTAACTATTGAGGCATTGTTAATTCAATAACGCGTAGTTGAAAGTTCTTTACATCTGTAAAATTAAACGGTGAGGAAATTAGTATTTAGAGGGTAATCTGCAATTTAGTCGAAAATTTCCAACCGTAAAGTGATCGAACGAGGACTACTGGTATTATCACTAAACATTATCTCAGTCATATGCAGCGTGGGATTTGAAACATACAAATTGAAGTTGTCACATTATATTAGCACAGTGGGATGAAATTATCAAGACATTTCAGAATAGAAAAAGTAACAGTGTCAGCACTAGCAGAAAAGACAAGGTATAGATAATATGATTCGAGGAGATTGAATTTATGCAACGAAAAGAAGTACATAATAATTCAAGAACTCAAGATCTAAGGGAAGATGAAGAGCGAATGGACTTGAACCATTTTGACTAATTCTGAGCCATGTCATCTAACATCTCTTTTTACCGACTGGTTACGATAATTACAGAGACCTCAATCAGATGGTAATCATTTTGTCTACATGGGTCAGTTCAACTGTTCAGGGCTTCGTAGACTGATAGAGCGTTAGCTTAGTGGTTAAAGCATCCGACTTCTGACAGTCATGTCCGAAACCCACCGAACCTACATCGGTTTGAAAAACCGGATAGTTTCAATCGTCGGTTCATTTAGTGTGGCTCATACTCAAGTGACTGGTGAACGGGTTTATTATTTATTACAATTTTACTTTTATAAACTGATGCCACAAGCTTTCTTTCAGCTTATATCAGACATCGCCCTTTCCTGCACCAAGCCATCGATGGACTCAAATAGACCATATTGCCATCAGTCATCGTTGGAGCGGCTTGATAGAAGGCTGTCGATCTTTCTGGAGTGCATGTTTAGACTCGGATCATGCGTTAATACGAGCATGCATTTGTTTGCGCCTCATTGGACGCAGAAAAGCCACACTAAGAAGACATTAGAATTGAACTCGGTGACGAGAAAGCCAAAAGCAGATTTCAGAAACTGAGATCATTTTTGGATAATTCTGAAAACGAGGCTGACCTAGATGTTGCTTGGAAAGATGTACAAACAGCAGCAACATATGTTCGTGATTTGAACCAAAGGGTCACGAAAAACCAGTAAGTCTATTGCGCTGATAGATTCTCGTAAACTCATCCTATTAGGCTCTGAACATGATGAAGAGAGTAAACAAATCAGATCCAGGTTAACCAAAAGTCTAAGGAACGACCGTGGGCAGTGGTGGGCAACGAAAGCAATAGATGGAAAAGGCAGCGACTGTAAGTAACAGAGGGCAGCCATTCAGACTAATAAAAGAAACTGGGACTAAGAAGTCAAGTGTGAGACGATCTCGGAAAAAGATGACACAGCCCAGACGTTTGAAACGATGGGCAGAATACTTTAGGAGGCAGTTCCGTTGGCCTTCAGCTACTATACAACCACTCTCCATCCCCAAACAGCCTGGATGGAACATTGAAGTAGGTCCCCCCGACTCTAGTTAAGGTTCAAAAAGCTATAGATAATCTGAAATGAGGAAAAGCAGCTGGCCCAGATAGGTTGCCTCCAGAGGTCTTTAAGGATGGTGGTTCAGGTTTAGCGATTAGGTTGACTAATATTTCAACTAAAATCTGGGAACTGCATGTAATCCCATTTGTCTGGTCACAATCACTGATAATTCCAATATAAGAAGAGATCAAAATCGTCCTGTGATAACGATAGAGGACTAAGTTTGACTAACATAGCATCTAAAATACTATCCTCAATAATTATCAGATGCCTAACAAAGACTCGTGAACTGCAAACACGAAAAAATCAGGATGGCTTCAGACCTGGTCGTGGCTGCATCGACCGCATATTCACCATTCGTCAGGTTTTAGAAAACAGGCATGCTTATCGGCGTCCGATAATGATAGTTTTCCTAAACTTGAAAGCAGCATTTGACTCTGTAAACCTAGAGGTTCTGTGACAGTGTTTCATTGCAAGGTGTACCTCATAAGTACATAAACCATGTGAAGGCTCTACTCGAACACTACTAGTTGAGTGAGAGCTTGTGGCGAACTGTCATCTGATTTTGCAACCTCAAGTGATGTCCTTCAAGGCTGTCCACTACCTTCATTTTCTTTCAACATCATAGACTTACTGGTGGAAATAACGTTCTCGTCGACTGAATTCTCGGGCATTGATCTCCTACCAGGACGTTCACTTACCGACTTAGAATACGCAGATGATACAGTCCTGTATGGGGATGCTGATAAAATGAAGTCTTTTAGTAGCACTGAGCAACAATGCCAGGGTGTTTGGGGTGAGTTTCTCGTCCTCTAAATGCAAATTGTTGCTTCAGGACTGGCCGGCATCAACGCCTGAACTAAGGATAGGCAGTGAAGTAGTTGGACGCGTCGACAACTTCACTTATCTTGGAAGCCTGACCGGCCCTAGTGGGTTAGTGCTTGACGAAATCTCTGCACGGATTCAGAAAGGTCGTTTGGCTTCTGACAACTTACGTCACCTATGGCGAAGGCGAGATATCTGTCCATCAATTAAGGGACGAGTATATTGAGCAGCAGTTTGTTCTGCTCTACCTTACGTCTGCGAAACGTGGCCATTAACAATAGAAGATACTCGTAAGCTACTAGTATTTGATCACAGATGTCCTAGAAATATTGCTCGTATCTGCTGGGATCACCCAGTAAGTAATAGTGAGGTTAGACATAGGGTATTGGGGAGTGATGGTGAATTAGTTGATGAGGTTGTGAACCTACATCGACTGAGATGGTTGGGCCACGTGTTACGTGTGCCTGAACACCGATTATCACGACGTGCAATGCTAACCGGTGTTGGAGATGGTTGGAAGAAAGTTACCAAAGTTACCAAAACCAAAATGTGGCCTCAGTGCTTGAAATCACTAACTTCTAGTCTGAGCCATGTTGGGAGATGCAGACTACTTGGTTGGGGTCCGCGCGACTATCGTAACTAGTGGTTGGAGACTCTTCGTGACATGGCTCAGAATCGATCATACTCGCGTAGGTGTATGCACTCTTTGTCTGCTCTTAAACTAAGATTAAAATTACTTTATACCTTTATATGAACTAATTCTTTCTTCCTGTATTATATCCGTATACACAATCTTTTTTTTAATATATTACTACCATTGAAGTGACTATTTCTATTAATTTGGTGCTCATCTTGTTGTGCTAATGAGGTGTGGCAACTTGGACCGATGCATATATATGCCTGGTCCTACGTTGTAGCTGACTGACTGAGACATCGCCCGTCGAGGTAGGAGGTAGTTAGGCATATGTAATACGTGTCCTAACCACTTCAGGTAATGAATATTCAATACCTTATCATTAAACGATTTCCCATCTTTAACTAGAACCCTATGCCTAGCCTAAACATTGTTCACTTAGTCAATCAATCACAACGTAGAACCTGGTACGTACATACATCAGTCCTAGTTATCACGCCCCATTAGCGCAGACATGAAATTGTCAGGTCAAATCCAGAGTAGTGGGAGTGGTAACAGTATGAATGGTGATTGAAAAGATGAGATATCAAAGGTATGATACAAGAAAATATAAATTAGTGAAATAAACACAAAAGGTTATGAGGAATTCGAGAGCTCAGAATTTGGGACGGACCAATAATGAGGGGCTGGTGACAGTAGCTAGGTACTAAACTATTATTACGTAAGTTTCAACCGATAACTTGGTTTGGCCTGAATTATTGGAACTTAGCATAACTAGTCCTATAAAGGGGATAGAGCTATTTATTTTGGAACTAGATAGATTTGTATTCACAATACAATAACTAAACTGATTTAGGACACAAATAAACAGATATACTGACTAGCAAACATAAAACTGGGCATGAATATCATTTCTCTTTGATAAATAACTCATGAATATAGTACGTAAACAAAAACAACTACGTGAACTGAAATAGATCGATGCCGAACGATTTATAAACAAGCAAGAAATAATAAATCTTAAGAGTAGGTAAAACCGAGCACAATTGTACAAATGTCCATATTATTGATGTTATCCTTAATCGGAGAGTAAATGGAGTATGGTCTGAATCAGAAACCTGCAAGTCAATAGGTCATACGCAACGTAGAACCAGGAATATATGTACAGGGGTTCAAATCGTTAGTTTCAGATATTAAAAAACCACTCCACACATATCTACTGCTGAAAACCAGAATGCTGAGAAGAGTTCTCCACAAACATTTGGTAAATTATCTGTCTTGACTCCAAGACATTTAGAACAGTATCCTAACGATCGCAGCAATTGACAGATTCAGGAATTGCTTTGATTATTAGCGCAGTTGTACCAGCCTTCAAATAGTATGGTTCATATTCAAGTATATAAACCTGTACTTGAAGCTACATCGAGTTTAGTCGATTACGAGACTGTGTAGTGAAGCTAAAAAAACCAGTTATATTGGGAATAGGTTGGCCAAGTCAGAAAGGATGGAGATAAATCTATCACAGACGCATACCTGGTTACACTAAATTGATTCCTTCCAGTTTATTTTGAGCACATTGATAAATCACTAGGAACCTCGTGTAAAAATTGAGAAGGGTTAAGAAGATACGAG